AAATGACCGACCTCCAACAATCACAACCAACATGATTGATTCCAATAGGTATGACTCCAACTACTGTAAAGTTTACCCCCGAATCCCATTCACTGCTTACTGTCACACTATGTCAGATGCAGTCTTGATCTCAAGAGCAGTCACTCTCACATTGCTGGAGTTCACCTATTTTATCAATATTTGGACAAAGGCTGTAATAAGGTAAAAGGGCTGAGTGGCCCTGGCAGAACTCAAATGTAGTGTCAGTTAGTAGATCATTGCTAAGCAAGCGCTGGTCGCTGGCACAGGTGATGAATGTTTCTATTACATTGCTGATATAGGGGGTAGATTGATGGGGTCTAATTGGCCAGGTTTGATTTGCCCTGCTTTTTCTATATAGGACATAACTGGATAGACGCCAGTGTTGCAGCTATAATGAAACAACTAGGCGAGGCATGTGGTTCAGTTTTCAACACCATTGCCAGAATATCATCAGGGCGCATACTTTTACAAAATACAATGCCTTCAGCTATTTGTTGATATCACACGGAATGAATTTAATTGGCTGATGACTGGCATCCGTCATCCTTGAGACCTCTGGAGGAGGCTGCGACGGACCATCCACTCAGCATTTCTGGCCGAAGATTGTTCAAATTAATCAGGCCTTATCTTTTGCACTAAGGTGATGGGCTCCCCCATAATTGAGAATGGGCACATTTGTGGAGCATCATCTTCCAGTGAATTGTTTAATTGTCCACTGCCATTCACAACTAGATTGGGCAGGAACGCAGAGCTTAGATCTAATCTAAGGTTGGCTTCTATGCTGTTTAGAACATGACCAGTCCTTTGTTATAGCTTCAAGGTGACACCACATTTTCAGCTACGTCTGCTGCTGCTTCTTGCTCACCTGCACTTCCCCTTGAACCATTGTTAAATTTCTGGCTTGATGGTAATGGTAGAGTCGGGATATGCCAGGTCATGAGGTCACCGACTGTGTTTGAATACAATCCTGCTGCTGTAGAATTGTTGTTTCTGTAGTGTAGCGGTTATCATGTTTGCCTAACATGCAAAAGATCCCTGGTTTGAAACTGGGCAGAAAACATGGTCTCCCTCACGATCTGGGCAAGGCATGCTGTCATCGCTTGCTCACAGTAGTGAATCAAGCTGGTTATCTACAAGCTGCTCAGCGGCTGGCGCTGCTGCCTCACTGCCAGGGGCCTGGATTCAATTCCAGTCTTGGGTGACTGTCCCTGTGGAGTTTGGACATTCTCCCCGTGTCTTTGTGGGTTTCTTATGGGTGCTCTGGTATCCCCCCACAGACGAAAGGTCTGCACGTTAAGTGGTTTGGCCATGCTAAATTGCCCCATAGCGTCCAGAGATGTGCAGGCTAGGTGGGTTAGCCATGGTAAACGTGGGGAGTGGGTGCTGGGTGGAACGCTCTTTGGAGGGTAAGTGGAGACTTGAGGGCTAAATGGCTTCTTTCCACACTGTAGGGATTCTATGATTCTAGATGATTCACGGTGCCTCACACTTTTCCAGTCTTGAGTTCTAGATCTGTTCAAAGCTATCCCATTTAACATGGTTGTATTGTCATATGACATAGTACAAGGCATCCTCAACTAAGTAGTGCTTTAACCTGGGACAGACAAGGGGAAAGTGAGGAGAGTCCTTGATGGTAACGTCAGTCGGGAGGGGGTTGTGCCCACTCTGTGTTACTTTGCATCACAAACCAGTTGTTCAGCCAACTGAGCTAACTGACCTCCCATTGGGAACTAGCTAAAGGATATATTTCAATCAACACTGCAATGTTTCAGTGCAGGAGCTTGTAGGAATAAGTCATAACTTTCTGGGTTTTATGATTTATTTTTATTCCATAATTTCTGTTTAATTCATGTATGCTGAATGAATGCTGTAACTGAGAAATTAGTCTAAACTTATTTCATTATTCATTAATTTAAAGCTACTTGCTTTGTATTTCTGCGTTTCCATGTAACTACATTGGGTGGAGTTCAAGCTGACTTACGATGATGCAAAACTAGCTTGACCAGTGCTGGTCTGTAGGGAGCGATGATCTTGCATTGATCCTCTCTGAAACAACAGTTTTATATTCAAAGTGGGAACATGATTGAAAATGGGGATTTATTTCTTTATATGTAAAGTAGCTGGAGTGAAAATAAAACCTGCCTTCTTTTTTATCAGTTCATATTCAGGTAAGATTCAAAGAAACCCAACAGTCTGTATGAATCAGGAAAAGCGTTGTTTAACAAACCAGTTAAGATTTTGATTTGCAATGCGAGTTGCACAGAAAAGTTTTCAAAACTATAGGCGGGATACATGGAAACACGTTGGTGAGGGTCTTCTGGAGTACTGTGTCTAGCTCTGGTTGCCCTGTTATAGGAAAGATATTATTAAGCTGGAGAGGGTTCAGAAAAGAATTACTGGGACACTGCTGGAACTGGAGGGTTTGAGTTATATAAGGAAAGGCTGGATAGGCTGGGACGTTTTTTACTGGAGCATAGAAGGTTGAGGGGTGACTTTACAGAGGTTTATAAAATCATGAGGCCCACGGTAAGGTGAATGGCAGGTGATGTTGCCCAAGGGTGGGGGAGTTTCAAGACTTGCGGCATATTTTTAAGATGAGAGGAGAAAGATTTTAAAAAGATGAGGGGCAATTTTTTTGTTTTACACAGAGTGGTTCGTATGTGGAATGAAGTTCCAGAGGAAATGGTGAATGTGAGTGCAGTTGCAAACGTTTAAAAGACATTTGGATAAGTACATGAATAAGAAATGTTTGGAGGGATATGGAACAAGCGCAGGCAGGTGGGACTAGTTTAGGTTATGATTAGAGTCGGCATGGGCTGGTTGGACCAAAAGATCTGTTTCCGTGCTGCATGACTATGACCAAGACTCTGACTAACATGAAAATTGGACTTCGTCTCCTCAAAGTCTGGTGTGCACTCCTATTGATATTGTCATGAACCTATGCATTTGCAGCAGACAGATTGGTGAGGAACAGAAACAGAGGTTGCTGGAAAAGCTCAGCAGGTCTGGCAGCATCTGCAAAGAAAAAGATCAGAGTTAACGTTTCAGGTCTGGCGACCCTTCCTCAGAAGTGGGGTGAGAATGTTTTTCCCTCTTCATCAGTCATAGACACAGTCTGACAGCTTTGTCCTTTAGAATTTAATCAACTTGGTCAGTAGGGTGCTTACAAGTCACTTTTGTTGATGGACACTGAAGTCCCCTACCCAGAGTACATTCTGCATAGTTCTACCCTCACTGCTTCTTCCAATTGGTGTTTAACGTGGAAGAATGCTGATTCATCAGATGAGGGGAGGTAGTAAGTGGTAATTATCAGGGGGTATCCTTGTCCATGGAAAACCTGATGCCATGAGACTTCATAGGGTCTGGAGTTAATGTCAGCACAACTCACTCTTAACTGTGGCACTTCCACTGTGTCACTATCTCTGATGGAATGCTGAGACTGGGACATTGTCTGTTTAAAGTATGATTCTGCGAGTATGACTGTGTCAAGCCATTACTTGAATAGTCTGTAACAGCTCTCCCAACTTTTACATTTGTCCAGGTGTTAGTAAGGAAGAATGTGAGGTAATATTTTGCCTAGGTAGAGGTGAGCAGTCTGCATGTTTTCATTCTTTGAGATATTTCACTGGTTTTGATATAACCGAGTGGCTTGTTAGGCCATTTCAGAAAGCAGTTAAAAGTCAACCACATTGCTGTGGGTATGAAGTCACATGTGAGCCAGACCAGGTAAGGAGAACACATTTCATTCTCTGGAAGAGATCAGTGAACCAGATGATTTTATTTTTTCACAACATTTGACGATAATTTCATGGTCATTAATAGACTTAATTCCAGATTTTGAAAAAAAACTCCACAGTGTGCAGTGGTGTGATTCAAAACTGGATCTGCAGAGCATTACCTGGGTCAATACTACTACATGCGTATGAATCAACACTACCTCATATGTATAAATCTTTTTAAATTTGCTGCGGAATGGTGGCTCAATGGTTAGCACTGCTGCCTCACAACACCAGGGACCCGATTTGATTCCAGCCTCAGGTGACTGTCTGTCTGTGTGGAGTTTGCACATTCTCCCTGTGCCTGTGGGGGTTTCCTCTAGGTACTCTGGTTTCCTCCCACTGTCCAAGGATGTGCAGGTTAGATCAATTGGCTACACTAAATTGTCTATAGTGCCTAGGGATGCAGAGGCTAGGTGGATTAGCCATGGGAAACGCCATAGGTTACAGGGATAGGGTAGGGGGGTGAGTCTGGGTTGGATGCTCTTCGGAGAGTTGGTGTAGACTTGATGGGCCGAATGGCCTGCCTCCACACTGTAGGGATTCTACTATTCTGCTGATTTAAAATCAATGCAAGTCAATTTGGATGTACACTCATGTAGGAGTGGCAATTTGAGACAAGGCTGCCTAGTACTGGGTTAATATTAGATGAGAGTCAGGCTGACAATCTGACTTTCCAACACATTGTCATCTGGAGGTGGATCTAGAAGTACATTCCCACATCACTCAAATAGGAAAGGAAGCAACTATATCACATTCGACTAAACTATGGTTATTTTTCAAATAAATTACAGTATTGCTCACTGCCAAGACAAAATTATTTAATTCCACTTACAGTGCAGTCAGTAATTTTTTGACACGTATTAAGTAAGATTAGTTCCACAAAGCAAACCAACTATGCAATTCTTTTCATTCAACGTCTCAAGAGATCAGGCCCCAGTTTTTCCATTCAGTTTGCTTCTTATTTATTGTCTTTGCACCAGTCACATCATTTCCGCAAATTCCTTCTGCAAAAATTACTGGTTTTCCAAACAATTTGGTGAAGAATAAGGTCAAATCATGGCTCAGCTGCTTATTCATTGATAAGAAGCTGGCGGTGGTGCTACAAACCCTGCATCAGCACGAACAACTGTTTTCTCATCAACTACACAGTCAGCACCCTATCCATTAAGCACTCAAAAGATAAAGTCAAGGCACACTTACGTTGTGCTACTGCACCTTGTATGCGATAGCCAAGAACAATTGCTGCTCTCTGTATATCTACTTTATTGATGAGGTTGGCAGCTTCATTTGCATCCAGGCGCTCCCCATTCTGTTTCTCCACAAAGTAAATCAGCTCAGTTGGGTTCCCATCACCAGTGATCTTGGTGATATTGACGACCTGCAAAGAAACAATTATTTGCAGACTGTAGATTTGAAACACACATTGCCAAAACCGAGCAAAAATTTGCACTATTGGTAACAGCATGTTAGTTTGGGCTGACAGCAATAAGTTAATGATTGCAAGTTAAGGAAAGGGGCAGGAAAAACTCTAAGCATCACATTTAGCTCAGGAATTAGAAACCTGTGGGGAATTAGAAACAAATGGGGTGGTGGGGAGAGGCCTGGCAGTGTACTGAGTGGGGGAAGGAGTAGAAAACAATCTGCGGTATACTCAGTTTTTTGGGGAGAGGAAGAGGCCTGGCAGTATACTGAGGTTGAATGGGATGGAGGGTATGGACAATGTGGAGAAATAGACAATGGCAGTAAATGGGCGGAGGAAGAAATTTGGTAGGTGGGTGGCGGAAGGAAGTGTCGGACACAAATAAAAAAGCGACTGAGTTAGTGTGTGGTCTTCCTTCTATATACAGTTTATCCACTTTAATTAACATTGTTCACTGACACTTAAACCATGCTATCTGGTGGAAAACAATGGAAATTAATGTACACATTAATCAGTATATCTCATTGAAATGATTGTTTAACACAGTTTCTTCTATCATTGTATTCTGATGTTCTGATATTTAGGTCTACAGACACAGGTGCTGATTAGTTAATGACCTAGTGGATGGCGGACTTTCCACCATTTCAACGAATACAGGAATGCAAACACCCTTCTGCACAGAACTTGCGTCAGGACTTCCAACTGTCTCAGTCAATAAACTGACTCCCATACAAAGTCAAACATCTGGACAATTTTGATTGTGTATGGCAGTTTGTGGTTACCTCCCACTATCTTTCGCCAACGCATTTGACAATACATGGAAGGCTGAAACATTGCAGAACTCAGGATGCCACTGTTGATTATTCTGCCCACTGTTTCAGCATTTGACATTGTTCATTCAAAGCAGAAGGTATTGATTGTGAAAAGAGATACTAGTCACTGCTGACTACATAAATAAAAAAAAACGTAACACCCCTGTTCAAAGATGGAGGGTGGCAGAAGACTAGAAATTACAGGCTGGTTACCCTGCAATTTAGAAAAAGGAGAGCCAGTGGCCAAGATCTATTTGGATTTACAGAAGGCCTTTGACAAGGTGGTAACTAAGAGCTTGTAGTGTTAGGGTGAGGCACAGGCATGGATAGAAGATTGGGAGACTGGCAGAAGGCAGTGAGGTGGAATAAAGAAGTCTTTACCAAGATGGCAGCTGGTGATTAGTGGAGTTCCACAGGGGTCAGTTTTGGGATCACAACTATTCATGTTATACAGTAACGATCTGGATGAAGGACCTGAGGGCATTGCTGCTAAGTTTGCAAATGACAGAAAGATCGGTGGAGGAACAGGTAGTGTTGAGGATGCGGGAAGGCTGCAGAGGAGCTTGGGCAGGCTAGGAGAGTGGGCAAAGACGTGGCGGATGGAATACAATGTGGTAAAGTGTGAAGTTATCTGGTAGGAAGTGTAGAGTTGTAGACTATTTTCTAAATGGGGAAAGGCTTTGGCAATCTGAAGCACAAAAGAACTCAGGGGCCCTATTTCAGGATTCTCTTTAGGTTACATGCAGCTTTAGTTGGCAGTTATGAAATGTTGCGAAGTTGGGTGGAGTATTTGTGGATATGGAGGAAGAAAGTTAGAAGTTGGTGTTTGTAAAATGCTAGGTGGGGAAAGCATTGCGTGGTCCCTTTAAAAGATCATGTGCTTTTTCTGTGCTTAGAGATGTAAAATGGATGTCTGTGAGCTGCAGCTTGAAAGTTTGCAACCACACAGAGCACCTGAATTGAAACATTTGTATCAAAAGGCTATGCAGTTAGCAGGCCAAGCAGCAGTTTTACCAAGACAACAAGTTTTTGAACTTAGCCAATCAATTTGAGCCAGTTTGGTAGATGCTATTGAAGGAGCCTTGGTGAGTTGCTGAAGTATAGCTAGCAAGTGTGCATTGGTTGTGATGTGAGTGAAGGTTCAGGGTAGTGGATGGGGTACCAATCCAGCAGGCTGATTTGTCTTGCATGGCATCAAGCTTAGCAGGTCTGGAAGCATCTGTGAAGGAAAAAACAGATTTAACATTTCAGGTCCGGTGACCCTTCCTCAGAACGGAAAGGTCTTATTCCCTGTTTCTGGTTCTGAGGAAGGGTCACCTGATCCGAAATGTTAACTCTGTTTTTTTCCTTCACAAATGCTGCCAGACAGCTGAGCTTTTCCAGCAAATTTGTTTTCGTTCCTGATTCACAGCATCCGCTGTTCTTTTGGTTTTTATATGGTATCAAGCTTGTTGAGTGCTATTGGAGCTGAATTCCTATCTACTATAAATTAGACAGTATTCCATCACAGTCCTGGAAGGTGATTTGTAGGTGGATGAATTTGAAAATAAAAGGTGCTAAGCCATTGTAAATAGTTATAGCTACTCATGCCCTTATTATCATTGATATGACTTCTAGGTGAGGACACATCACAAACAGATCAATCGATTCATTGGTGAATAAAAATTTCAACTATGGTCCCCAACACCTGTTGTGATCCATGCCCAGTTTACCAAAAAACATATTAATATTTTGACATTATAATTGGCTAGTGTAAACGAGGAATAAGTTGGTCAATGTCCTTCACTTTTGATCCTGCTGCTGTACTTGGGTTTAAATCTTGCTAACATTTGTTGTCCAGATTTGCTTATGTGAAATAACCACCTAGCTACAGAATAGGTAACTAGGGGACTGACCTAAATTTGGAAGGACAAAAACTTGAATGACAGCAAAGTGGACTGAACAGGGTATTTAAGGAAACTTAATAAGCAAACAGGAGTGCTCCCACGGTGGTGGGTAAAGTATAGGTTGCTATGCAAGCAATTAGTTTTAAATTTTAATCCTGCTATTGCAGGATTCCCAAATCATTACTACATTTGGCATGCAGGTATATTTGTTTTGTTGATTAGTTCTGTTATCAATTCCCAACTGGAAATAAAACTTTTTTACATCATGAGGAATGCTGGTTTGAGAGAGAGTACGGTGATCACACAAGACTGCTCTTTCACACTATCTAACCCACGGTGTCTTTGTTTTCATCTCTAGCCTCATGAAACAGATCTACAATTGCTTAGAAACCTGGACATAAAGAGGTATAGTAAATTTACAGCATGGATATCATTGACCCAACAAATCTGAGCCCTTAGCCTCTTTGTACTTCTCAAAGTACTAGGCAGCACTTCCCAATCTATTTCCTAATGTGACCCCATTTAAACATTTGAAAGCTAATGTAACCCTAGCTGGCAACAGAAGCAAAACCGTAATGAAGCTGCGAAATAACATTCAGTGGACAATTAAATTGTACATACTGGAGATTAAAATATACATTGTATGAACAAGAAAATTTGAGTTTTTCAAGTAATTATGAAAATTTATTTTTCCAGTATGTCTTACACACACACACACACACACACACACACACACACCTCTTTGACCTGGCTATTAAGAATTCATTTTTCCCTAACGTACAATAATAGCAAGGTTTAATAAACATAAAGCTCAGTCCGTCAATGGAGTAAATTGATTGGAGGAGGAACAATGTAATTGATACTGTCCGTTTTCAGTCCCTCACCAAACACCACCACCCTTCTGTAGCCTGCATCATCAACCACATGCTTACCAGTGTAAGAACTGACTTCTAATCTCTTGGTGCATTAGGTTCAGTGAGTCAGTGATTCTATTAAGTGGTCTTAAAGGGCAAGTTCTGGACCTGGCCACCAGTGCTAAGATTTAACCAGTGGAAAAAATGTGGAAAGATTGAGTGGGAGCAGGATGAAGTGGGGGAGGAGAAGAATCAATAGCTTATGCTTAAAACTTGTTTCTCATGGTATTGGTCCTCAGCAGGACTTTTCTCACTGATACGGAGAGAGACACAGAAGCAGAGCTAGGGCAGAACCAGACATCACCTAGGCTCAATCCCATTTGCTGTCTCTGACCCCATTTGAAATCAAGGTCGACAGTTTGGGAACTGTTGAATAAAGGTATTGGCAGCTAGATTAGGCATCATCTATATGTGCAGCAAGCAGGAGGCACATGTGGGGAAAAGCACGATAATGCCTGCTCCACACGTTCACTATCCTACAGGAATCAATTATAGTAAAATAAAATTTTATTTAGAAGCTGAATAAGCAAACACTAGAACTTTTAAGTGCGAGACTAAATTTTCAAAGCCTAGAGATACAGAATAGGTCATCAAAATTTATTGAATTAGGAAAGCAACTGATGCAGTAAACTAGTTTACTTAATATGTTAGTATTACACAACATAGCTCACTCAATGTAGAAACACAGCTTATCCAGACCTGTGAGCCAATTCTGTCATTTAATTAAATCATGGCTGATCATTTTTTTTCAACGTTTAAAACATTCTGCCCAGACACATCCATTCCTATTGCATTCAATCCCTTGTGTTACTTTCTATATCACAGAAGATACGAGCTGGTACAGACAAGTTTGTCCTTCATCCCAACCGCAGAGGCCTATAGAAGATAAAATTACATGGCTGAACAATATCTTTGTCATTTGCAAGACACTGCCTACCTGAACAGTGTTATTTCCCAAGGTACTGGCCCGCTTCTGACGTCTTCCTGACCCAGTTGCTTCACTGATAAGCTGAGCCAGTTTTCGCTCAAGTTCAGCCTGGAAGGTTTTGTCCTGTATATGGTTGTCGTGCACACCTAGGAGTACTGATCAGAAAAAGCAAGGCTGCCATGACATATTCAACATAATTATTCATAGCATTTGATTAGATGGCTGAAAGATATCAGTAGCATTATGCAGACGCATTTGAAAGTTACAAAGTAGAGACTGAGGAAGATCATGAGCCAGAAAAAGCTTGCAACATTCTTTCCAATTGAAATGTCCAGCAATATCAAATGATTAAGGTTTTCTATTATCAAACCTAAGACACCATACCAAGAATTAATTGCTCTTCATATGAAGAAATTCTTCCTGACTAGTGGTCAGTTTCAGTGACTAGTGGTGTGCCTCAGGGATCGGTGTTGGGACCGCAATTATTTACAATTTATATAGATGACTTGCAGTTGGGTACCACGTGTAGGGTGTCAAAGTTTGCAGATGACACTAAGATGAGTGGCAGAGCAAAGTGTGCAGAGGACTGTGAAACTTTGCAGAGGAACATAGATACATTGAGTGAGTGGGCAAAGGTCTGGCAGATGGAATACAATGTAAATAAATGTGAAGTCAGATATTTTGGTAGGAGTAATAGTAAAAAGGATTATTACTTGAATGGTAAAAAGTTGCAGCATGCTGCTATGCAGAGGGACCTGGGTGTCCTTGTGCATGAATCACAGAAGGTAGGTCTGCAGGTACAACAAGTAATTAGGAAGGCAAATGGAATTTTGTCCTTCATTGCTAAAGGGATTGAAATTAAAAGCAGAGAGGTTATGTTGCAGCTGTACAAGGTGCTGGTGAGGCCACACCTGGAGTACTGTGTGCAGTTTTGGTCTCCTTACTTGAGAAAGGATGTACTGGCACTGGAGGGGGTGCAAAGGAGGTTCACTAGGTTGATTCCGGAGTTGAGCGGGTTGGCTTATGAGGAGAGACTGAGTAGATTGGGATTATATTCATTGGAATTCAGAAGATTGAGGGGGGATCTTATACAAACATATAAAATTATGAAGGGAATAGATAAGATAGAAGTAGAGAGGATGTTTCCACTGGCAGGTGAAGCTAGGACAAGAGGGCATAGCCTCAAGATTAGAGGGAGCAGATTTAGGACTGAATTCAGAAGGAATTTCTTCACCCAGAGGGTTGTTAATCTATGGAATTCCTTGCCCAGTGAAGTAGTTGACGCTACTTCAGTAAACGTTTTTAAAAAAAAGGTAGTTTTTTTTGAACAATAAAGGAATTAAGGGATACGGTTAGAACGCGGGTAAGTGAATCTGAGTCCACGAAAAGATCAGCCATGATCTTATTGAATGGCAGAGCAGGCTTGAAGGGCCAGACGGCCTACTCCTGCTCCTAGTTCTTATGTTCTTATTAAATTTGTTCTGTCCTCTTTCATGAGGTTTAATCTGCACACCATTTTTTTTTTTTTTACTAACAGCAAAGTAAGCCTGAACTTACGTAGTAGTTCATTTGTCTATCCCATACCATTTACTATATTGACTTTTTAAGTTCAGCTCCGCTTTTCATTCTTTCAAGGTGAAAGAGCTTTCGTTTTCTAATCTTTGCTCATAGTGCAATCTCCTAAAATTGAAGATCAGCCCAGACATCAATTATTGCAGTGCCTACAGTTAGACTATTTCCCAGATTTCTTCAATTTCCCGAGCAGGGATGTATCTGTATTCATAGGCTTAAACTGTAGATACGTTCATGTCAGAAATAAGACAGTCATACAAACAACTCCTTTCCTCTCATATTTTGTGAAGTTTGATAGGCATCATGCAATTAACATTTTTGCTATCTGGAAGATGGTGTCTACGTAGATGTCTAATGCAGAAAGCTAGGTGAAAAACAGTTCAATGAACACAAATATATGTTTGAACTGTAGGTTAGGTTTTGACAAAAATCAGTTTGAGACATTACCTGTGCTATCCCTACACAGATACTGAAACTGCTCTCCATTTCCATTTTCACTGATGTCATTTGTTTCTAAGTTTCATGATTTTATGTGAAGGAAGATGACACCACAAGTGACTGTTTACACTTAGAGTTAAGAAGGATAATATAGATCACAGTTTCCACTCTTGATGAGTACAGAACAACCCCATGAGTATAGAATAATCCTATGCAGATTTTTTGCCTTTATTATAACAGCGATGACATTTCAAAAGTATTTCGTTGATTGTAAGGCAATTTGGGAAATCCTGAGATCAGGAAAGGTGCTGTAGTAATGGAAATATTTCTGTCAAGGACAAGATCAATCTTGTCTGCAATTAACTCTCATTGTATGCTCAGAATCAAGCTGGCACACAAGTAAAGAACATTTAGAGGCACGGAATCAAAGCCAACAAAGAAAACAATTTCTTAGACAAAAAGAAATGGAAGAAAGGGAGAAAAACAAAGCTTTTGAGTGGCCAAGACACTTGAAATGATGCTGATAAAGCAAATTCTTATATTTACCAGACATGCAAAACATCAAAGAAAGTCGACAGGAAAATACTAAATCATGTGAACTGAGTGCAAATGTGCAGATGGCATTGGTCCAAGGAACGAACCTGTCTTTATCCAGGAAGCCTTCAGCAGGTGCGACCGATTAAGTTCAGGGTAATAGATGGCTGTAAAAATGTTAAATTACAGATATTAACATGCAGCTGAATATCCCCAGTCAAATACATTTTTACTAAGTAGGACGCATACTCGGGAACTAAACTAACAGCAGGTCAGAGTTCTGGTGTGAATTTCTTTGTCAATTACACTCCACTCTTTGTGAAAGGTGAGAAGGTGAAGAGCTATGCTTTGATGCAGTTCTACAGGCACCAAAGTCCTGACAGCATCTCAGCCAACCATAATGTGCGAGGTAATGTGGAGTACTAAACTGCTACCAGAATGAGAAACCCAAGCCTAACAGGAGGGGATCCTTCTCTTGATGAAGGTTAGTAGATAGCTACTGCTTTAAAAAGATTTTGAACAGGAGCTCCAAAGTTGCAGAGATCTAAATGCTAAAATAAAAACAAATCCAATCACATTTCTACCTGTTCAGTTCCAAAAGAGTTTAAAACATTAACTTCTTTTCTTTCTTCACAGATGTGGGTAAATGGTTAATCAAAAGTGCATGACAGCCCAATAGGAGATCTCATGCTCAGTATATGGCCACACATCTGTATCACATCAGGGGAGGCAATGGCACAGTGGTAATGTCACTGAACTAGCAATCCAGAAGCCCAGGCCAATGTTTAGAGATATGGGTTTGAATCATGCCATCACACCATGGCAGATGGCAAAATTTGAATTTGGGAACACCACCACCTTCAAATTTTCCCCCAAGCCACTCACTATCCTGACATGGAAATATATTGTCATTCCTTCACTGTTGTCAAAATCCTGGAATCCTATCCTTAATGGCATTGTGAGTCAGCCCACAGCGGGTGGACTGCAGTGGTTCAATAAGGCAGCTCACCACCACCTTGCTTAAAGGCGACTAGGGATGCCAGCCAGCAATGCTCACATCCCACTTATGAATAAAAAGAAATCAATAAAATCTGGAATTAAGAACTGGTCTAATGGTGAACATGTAACCATTTTGAGTGCCTGGCCAGCAAGGCCCACATCCCATGCACACACTTTAAAAAATATACATATATATCAAGCAAGGATCTCTAAACTGCTACCAGAATGAGAAACCCACGCCTAACAGCAAAAAAGGACGGGATCCTTCTCTTGACGAAGTTAAGTAGATAGCTACTGCTCTAACAAGATTTTGAACAGGCAGCTCCAAAGTTGCAGAGATCTGAATGCTAAAATAAAAACAAAACCTATCATATTTCTATCTGTTCAGTTCCAAAAGAGTTTAAAACATCAACTTCTTTTCTTTCTTCACAGAAGCTGTTTAACTTGGAGTTTCTCCAGTATTTTGTTTTACTGTAGACCTGAACACTGTTCAGTTGCATATACTTTCAATTTCTTTGCTTTTTAGGCTGGAAGCTGCCACTGGAATTGTATGGAATCATCAATGAGAAACCATTTCCAATAGTTTCAGATAGGCTAAGAAAAATCCAAGATTGTGGCTTTGAAATGACACTTTAACCACATCATCAGACTCAACAAATTAAAACAATTTTTTTTTAATATAGAATCCGAGAAACTGCCCATTGGCACACACAAAACAAAAAGTGTTCTGTCCATGATTTTATTTTCTGGAGATCCTAACTCTCAAATGTGCTGCTCTTATTACATGACCTAAGTAGAGATATGTTTTAGCATGTCAGTACTGGTTTGACTTCTTATAAGAAGTACTTTCTGACAGTTCCCTGCAATTATCAATACGCTGCAATTGGAACAGTGTCAGCTTTTAACTGGAGATCAGCCATCTCTTTCTAAATGAGTGACAGCTCTATTTACATGTGAAATTCCCCTATTTGGATTTCCTTTATCTGGATCCAATTTTGAATGAATCAAACTGGAATGGAGAACTTAGGAAAGGTTTGTAAAGGGAGAGGACCCTTATACCCTTTGAAAATCATTTGGCAGCATCTACATTGGGCTTTAGCATCCCTGAACTCAGGATGGAAATAAAGACCACAGATTTCAGTTTATATACAATGGACTACTTCTGAGTCATTATTTGTGATGGGTCTGCTGAGATGGAGACAAGTAATTCAAGTCTCAGTGGAAGATGAATGGAAGTAAAAGTTTCAGACACAAATACTGGCTCAGTGTTGTGAGGAGACTAGTGTTGTGTCTAATAATATTTTTTGAACTGGATATGAAGTAACACAGGGGAGGCGATGGCCTAGTGGTATTATCGCTGGACTGTAAATCCAGAAACCAGACAACATTTTGGGAACCCGGGTTCGAATCCCAGCATGGCAGATGGTGGAATTTGAATTCAATAAATATCTGGAATTAAGAATCTAATGATGACCATGAATCCATTGCCGATTGTCAGAAAAACCCGTCTGCTTCACCATTGTCCTTTAGGGAAGGAAACTACTATCCTTACCTGGTCTGGTCTACATGTGACTCTAGATCCATGGCAATGTGGTTGACTCGTAACTGCCCTCTAGGTAATTAGAGATGGGCAATAAATGCTGCCTAGCTAGCGATGTCCTCATCCCATGATGGAATAAAGAATAAAGAGACTGAAAAGTAGTTTAATCAAATAAGAACTACTGTGCTAATGTCTCTGTAACTGTTCACTTTTTACTGTTGATAAACTTAATAGCCTGTACCACAGATCTAATGGCATATTTATTCCTTCATTGTCTAATGGCTAGCAAAAGAAGTCAATCCAAATTAAGAAACAAACTGTTCTATTGGATCCTAGGAAATTAAATGACCAAATAATATGTGCATTAAGACACAAATGTAAAGATGGAGGAATCATTTACAGAAGAGGAAAAGAGCAACAGATATCCATTGCCTTCTTGAGGCTCTGTTCTTTCATTCCACTCTCCTACACAGTAATGCCTAGGCTTCAGGCCTGGGTATGACTTTTGCCAAGAACTCAGAGTTGCAACCAGCTTGTCTCCTGGAATGGAGGGTGTTCTCCTGGATCAGGACTGTCCTCCGATAAAAACACAACAGTTGCAGCACTGGTAAAAGTGCACCACTGCAAGCACTGACATTTTCATCTTGATGAAAATAAAGGGCTAAAATAAAAACCCACTCGATATTCTGCTTAATCACAGTTACACATTAGGATTGCCTGAATCAATTCAACTTCCGCACATATCCAAGTACATCAATGTGACAGCTTCTTTTGTTTACCCAGAAAAGATTGGTCTGAAGTTTCACTGCTGCTAGATTAGCTAAATAAATCAGGTTTCTGATCCAGTTTAATCATTTAAATCATTGAGAAACTTGACAGCATTCATGTCACAACTTTACACAAATAAAATAACTTACGCTCAGCAGTCTTTAGGACAGGAAATCCCAGATAAAAACTAAACTCCACCAGGTTCAGTATCCTCAGCAAGTCACTCACATCTGAGCCATTCAGGAAGCCTCTTCTACCGTTGATAGCGAAGGTTATATTTACAGGACCTTGCCGCAATCCTCCAAAATTCTCGGCAGCATGGGTAACATTTACAATCTGAGTGACATGAAATCAAAGAAAATTAACATGGCTTCAAATGGATACCAGAGTGCTACAACACTGCCAGGAAATTCTAAATTGTAAACCCTACTTGGAAAAACAGAGTTTCATAGCTTCTTTTTTCATCTGGTGTCTTACTGGGTATCTATGAAGACTTCTTCCTACTACTCTATGCTACCTTATGATTTAAATTACATCAAACATTAACTAATCCTATTTGAACTTCATTAATGGCCCTCAGCTGCTTGACTTTCTCCTCTCCTCATTTGAAAGTACTGATTGATTCTGGGATTCCATTCCTCTTCCTCTCAATTGAAGTGGACCGTTATTCATGACATATGAATAGAGGCATCAACTGAGAAAGTAATTATGAAAGGTACTGTTCATATCATTCACACAGATGGAGAAATGTGGAAGTATTTATGTTGCTCTGTAGTCCCAAGTGCTTCACACACAACTGAAATCCCCACCGTTAACTATGGGCATGTATGCCACTATATTTAAAGAGGATTTAAGTAGAGGTAGAAAGTAACAAATCTGTTTATTAAAAAGGGAAATCGTATTTCCTAACAGGCTGTCCTAATTGCTAGCAGTGAATCTTTTATTGTACCACTTATGTAATCACAGTTCAAAAAGGTACGAGCAGGTAATTGAAGCTAAAATACATTGCCTGAAATCAGCAGATCCCTTTTATATGAACAAGGCAAGTGCTATCAATACTCAGAACAGCAGCTGCACTCATAACTGAGTTCTGAATAATGGTCACAACGCTTGAAATATTAATTCTGTTTTCTCTCCACAAATGCTGTCAGACCTGCTGAGTTTCTCCAGCAATTTCAGTTGTCTGTTTGTTTCGGATCTCCAGCATTCACAATTCTTTTTCTTCTCTTGTCCTTTGTAATTTATTCATATTTGGGTGGGCGTTGGATGTATGGATAATGATGACTGTGATATTTGAAATAATTTATATAGGTAATTCCAGTACCTATTCAGTAACAGAAAGGCATCACTGAGCTGTTGAGCAATTAATTGCTTTTTGGTCATATTAGATGAAGGAGAAATGTTGGTCAGGTGATGGGAAAATTCCATGAAGCTCTTCAACTAGAGGCCTGAGATCCTTGCCTGATTACCAATTCATGCAAACACCAAAATGGGGCCTCAATTTAACATCTCATTCAGAGAAAAGCATCTTTAGCATTGCAGCACTGACACATTGGGAGTGTCATTTGGGCTGACAGAGTCAAGCTTACTTGTTTTACCAAGATGTCACACTGGTTGATGATATGGATCATAATGAATATCTGATGGCATCAAAGGCACTGTACCATAATTAAATGACTTCCATCTAATGTTAACAATAGGAAATTGCAGCTGAGCACTCGTGCTATTCAACAGAGAATAGTAAACAATATACAGGCACATTTATAGTTAGTACCCTTGAGATGTTGGTCATGCAATTCGAGAACATAAAGTTTACTCATTAGCACATAAAATCACTATGCCCAAGTGCAAACATCTGGTAGATGGTTGACTGTTCTCTGTTCTCTGTAACAATAGATGATGTGGTTCAAAATGTGCTAGATACAACAGACCTTGGAAAGGCCATGCAACAGTTGCTGTCAACAAATACTGGCATCAAGTACGCAGTGCCAGATACAAAACAGTTACTTCTTCCACTGAATTACCTTCTAAAACTTTCACGCAACATTGCAACACTTCACCCCTTAGCACATGGTACACATGTGAATTCTGTCTGAAGTTATCTTTATAATGAAAGACTTTTCCATCCAAACCTTTATTACATCATGCTCCACATCTATCAGAAGCGGTCTGATTCTGTCTGCACTTTCATCTCTTTGCAATATTAAACAGCTCCCACCTTTTAACAAAAATAGCCCCAGCTACTCACTGCCTAAACTCACTGAGCTAATACTGCTTCAAGTATTACTGCTTCAGTTCCTTTACACTGCTGGAGTCAGTTACTCTTCTAAACCTGAAACTTTTGATGTGGTTGGAATTCCAGTTTAATCAAGAATAGTCAACACTATAAAATTAGAAAATGTTAATTTTCCCTAGAAATTTCTCATTCAAATGAAGTACTTGTGATACCTGGAAGTATGATCTGAAAGGAGACATTTTAGCAAAAACGTTGCAGTCGAAGATCAACCTGCGTTAGAATGATTTAGTGGACAGTGTTATGGGAAGGAGGGGTGGGGGGGAAGAGGCGTGGCTTACGATATAGAGAGAACAGGTCCCAACTGGAGGAAAGCTTTTCCTCTCTGCCCCAGATATCCCTAGAGGGAACGCTATGAAGGGAGTGTAGAAAGATGAAGCTCAAGTAAAGCTTAAGTATGAGCTTCCATACTGCTGTTTCTACTTTTAAACATGGCACATCTCCCTCTCTATTCTTCCACCAGTGACACCATGCTACATAAACAAAGAGTTCAAAAAAAACCCAAAATCAGGCTTGAAGCACATCAGTAGGCTGACACTGAACACAACCACGATACTTAACTGCAATGCGCTGCTGTTTGATGTGTCTTAGGATCAATAGTTTGATCACTGTGACATAGAAGAGCAGCTGATCAGTTTACAGAAAAAAGTCAGCATCTTGCATAAGATGTTCTAAGTGCCAATTCAACTAAAGGTGAAGGATGAAGGACTTGAGGTTCAACAGATAATGTGGTTCAAGTGTTTAGATGCTGAACAGGAGATAGAGATCCCCAAAAGGAGGAAGATCCTATTGTCTATGTGGCCATATGGTGCCACTGATAACTCTTGTACTTTATGAAATCCAACTGTTTAGAAACGGACAGACTTGCCATAATCTTCAACGAGGAAGAAGCTGAAAGGGCTGGTCAAGGCGAACAATCTATCAACCACCTTTCTGAAAAACTGTGGGAAGCAAGTTGCTGGATACTGCAGACATCCTTATGCTAACCTTGTAGAACAGAGAGACATAAAAGCTTAAGATTGAGGTGATCTTGAATTCTGCTAAGAATACCATCCATATAGTGGAAACTGGCTTCAGGTTTTCTTGAGACGAATGGTCAAGCTCTGTATTTGGCTCATAGATCAACATGGGCTTGCAGAAGCAGCTCTCCTCAATCTTTGTCAAGTAAATCTGCATGGTCAGCAGGTACACATGACAACATAACAATCTGCCTAAGATAGGTGGCATCTCATCTCATCAGAGTACCATTGTGTCTGAACCCCTGTGGGGGGAAATATTTAAAACAATTCACATGTCTCATAATGGAATATCAGGAAAGACTGATTCAGATTTAATGCAGTATAGGGTGAATAGGCTAGAGAATAGTTTAGGTGTGTACAGAATTTCTTCACTTAATTAATAAGATGCAATGTTACTGAACTGCTTCAATCATGGAGATAAAAAGTGTTTCATGATCATGATGATATGGTAACCTGAAACCCAAATGTCACAAGCCAGACAGGGAGGGGTGTTGAAGTAATGGTAATTTCACTGGACTAGTAATCCAGATCCAGAGGCTAATGTTCCAGGGAGGTGGGCTTGAATTCTATCATGGCAGCCTATGGAATTTAAATTCAATAAAATCTGGGATTAAAAACCAGCTCAATGGTGACCATATAGCAACTGCCAATCGCTGTAAAAACCAATCTGGTTCACTAATGGCCTTTAGGGAAGAAAATCTTCCATCTACACGTGATGCCAGATTCACAATAATGTGGTTGACTCCAAACTGCCCTCTAAATTGGGCTAGCTATTCAGTTGTATCAAAGCGTTACAAAGTCTAAAGAAAGGAACGAAACCAGGAGAATCAACTGGCATTGTCCTAGGCATCAGAAACAACATGGCAAATGGCCCTATTACCCCTGAAAAGTCCTCCTTACCTACAACTGGGGTTTTCTACCAATAAAGGGGGAGAATTGTCGCATACTAGTTAAGCAAAAGCCTGAAATAGTCAAACTCATAAGATAATACCTACAGGCAACACCCCAAACAATACATGGGTGAGACACTGGCAAAGCATACTCACTAGAGCTGACAGCACAGTGGTATATAGTTGGAAAGATATTGCCCTGTGAGTCTTCAACACCGGTTCCAGACCCAATGAAATCGAATGGCACTAGTCAACCCAGCAAACCTCCTGCTGATTATCCTCCATCTCTCCTCAACCCTCCATCCAACACCAATCTCAGATAATGAACTAATACTCCTCTGTGTTGAACATCATCTGAGGAAAATGTCTTTGACCTCATTCTCTCCTATCTACCTGTCGCAGATACATCCTTCCATTACAGTATCTGTAGATGTGTCTTTGTGGATATGAAGTTCCATCATCACATTAAGGATACACATGTTGTGTGATATCCTTGAGGCATTGTGGGCTACCAGCAGGAGAACTGTATTCAATGACACTTGGGATAGGTACACCACAGGGTTAGATATGGAATAAAGCGGTCTCGACACAGTCCTCATCAAACACACCCAGCATCGGCAGAGCAAGCAGTTTCTGCAGGAAAATCTCCCTTCACTGTTAACTGAGCACAAAGATCAGGAGTCTTCCAGCTAGATGCCTCCTGACCTATGCTGAGTTAGCTGATCACAGACGAGAAAATAGATGAGTAGAAATAAGCAGAAATAAGAAACAGCAAGGGAAAGAAGCCTCCAGTGTGAGTAATCTAGAGGAAAGCTAACACAGATCTATAGTAGCTCGCAGTTTAAACCAGGGAATACTGGGAAGGTTGGAAGAAAGGTATGACAGTAATAATTGATGATTTTAATATGCATACAGACTAATCAAATTGGCAAGGATAGTCTTGACGGAGAGTTCATAGAGCACAGTACAGATTGTTTCTTGGAGCAGTATGTTGGAAAAGCAATCAGGGGATCAAGCTATATTGGATTTAGTATTGTTTAATGAAATGGGATTAATGAATGATCTCATAGCAAAGGATTGTCTATGGAATAGTGATCATAGCATGTTGGAATTTCAAATTCAGGTTGAGGACAAGAAACCTAGTCTCTCACTAGTGTTCTGGAGTTGGAAGTAATTACACAGGCATGAAGATTGACTTGGCCCTATGGAGTGAGCAGAAAGACTAATAGGTAGTCGATGAACAGTGGCAGTCATTTAAGAAGATATGCAACACCTCGCATCTGAAATATATTCCACAGAGGACGAAATATTGTAACAAGAAGTAAAAGCATCCGTAGCTAAGCAACAAAGTTATACACAATATAAAGGCAAAAACTAAGGCATACCATATTGTAAAAGTCTTTAAAAAGAGCAAAGGTTAATTAAGAAAGAAAATCAATGCAAAATATAAAAGTGGACAGCAAAAGCTCCTACATTTCAAGGAAGACAGCAGCTAAAGTGAATGCTGGTCCTTTAGAGGACAAGGCTGGGGAGTTAATAATGGAACACAGGAATGGCAAAGACACTAAATGCAAATTTTACCTCAGTTTTTATGGTGGAGGTGATTGAAACCATCCCAATAGCAACAAGTAATGCGAAGGTTACAGAAAAAGAACTTAAAACAATCACCGTCACTAGGGAACAAGTACTGAGCAAACAATTGAGATTCAAGACAGACAAGTCCCCAGGGTGTGATGGCCTACATCCTAGGGCCTTAAGGAAGTGGCAGCAGTGACAGTGAATGCATTTGTTAAAATATTACAAAATTCCCCAGATTCCAAAAAGGTTCCAGTGTGTTGGAAAAATGCTAATACAATGCCATTATTCAAAAAGTGAAGGAGGCCAAAAGTAGGAAACTATAGACCAGTTAAGTTTACGATCTGTCATTGAGAAATTGCTGGAATCATTACTAAGGAAGCAGTAAATGGGACAGTTGAAGGTTTTTTTTTTCTATTCATTTGTGGGATGTGGGCATTGCTGGCTGGCCAGCATTTCTTGCCCATCCCTAGTTGCCCTTGAGAAGGTGGTGGTGAGCTGCCTTCTTGAACCGCTGCAGTCCTCCTGCTGTGGCTTGACCTACAATGCCATTAGGGAGGGAATTCCAGGAATTTGACCCAGTGACAGTGAAGGAACGGCGATATATTTCTAAGTCAGGATGGTGAGTGACTTGGAAGTGGTCGTGTTCCCATATGTCCAATGCCCTTTCCCTTCTAGATGGAAGTGGTTGTGGGTTTGGAAGGTGCTATCTGAGGATCTTTGGTGAATTTCTGCAGTGCATCTTGTAGACAATGCACACTGCTGCTACTGAGCGTCAATGATGAAGGGAGTGAATGCTTATGGATGTAGTGCCAATCAGGCGGGCTGCTTTGTCCTGGATGGTGTCAAGCTTCTGAAGTTTTGTTGAGGCTGCACTCATCCAGGCAAGTGGGGAGTATTCCATCACACTCCTGACTTGTGCCTTGTGGATGCCGGTCAGGCTTCGAGGAGTCATGAGGTGAGTTACTTGATGCTAATGCAGTGTCAAAATACAATCCACCAGAGTCAGCATGCGTTTATGAAGGGGAAATTATTTACTAGAGTGGATAATGGGTGTCCTGTAGATATAGTTTATCTGGACTTCCAGAAGGCATTTGATAAGGTGCTGCAGAAAAGTTTATGCAAAATGTCAGATCACACAGTATTATAGGTAATATATTAGCTAGGACAGAGGATTGCTTTCTACTGGTTAGCCAGAGTCGGCATAACTGGATCTTAATCTAGTCGGCAAGCTGTAACCAGTGGGGTGCTACAGGGTTCAGTCCTTGGGTCCCAACTATTTAAAGCTTTTCTTAATGACTTAGATGCAGAGATAGAATGTATTATAGCCAAATTTGCAGTTGACACTAAAATCAATAGGAAAATAAGTTGCAATGAGAAAATAAGAAATTTATAAATAGATATGGATAGGTTAGGTGAAATAACCAAAAGATGGAGTTTAACATAGATAAGTGCGATGTTATCCATTTTGCAGAGAAATGTATTTAAGCTATGTATGGTTTAAATGGAGAGAAACCTCAAAATACTTTGATGCAGAGAGATCTGGGTGACCTCATGAATAAATTTAAATAAGCTAGTATGGAGGCACAATAGGTAATAAAGGAGGACAAATGGAATTTCAGTATTAATTGCTAAAACAAAAGGAGTATAAAGGTAGGGAAGTGTTGCTGCAACTGTATAAGGCATTGGTGACACTGCACATGGAGCACTACGTACAAAAGTGATCCCCTTACTTGAGGAAGAATGTAATTGCATTTGAGGCAGTTCAGAGAAGGTTCATTGGATAGATTCCACAGATGAAAAGCTTGTCTTATGAGGAAAGAATGAGCAGTTCAGGCCTTGACTCTCTGGAAGAATGAGACGAGATTTAAATTTAGGTATATAAGATGTTAAAGGAGGTTGACAAAGTAGATGTTGAGCGGGTATTTTCCCTGTGGGGCAATGTAAATCGAGAAGTCATAGTTTTAGGATAAGGGGTAGCAGATTTGAGAGGAGGAATTACTTCTCTCAAAGATCATGAATCTGTGGAATTCACTACCCAACAGCATGGTGGATGCCAGGATACTGAATAAATTTAATGAGGCCATAAACAGATTTTTCATCAGTAACACATTAAAGGGTTATGGGGGGGTGGGCAGGAAAGTGGAGTTGAGGTCAAGATAAAATTAGCCATGACCGTATTAAATGGCTGAGTAGGCTAGAAGGCTGAATCACCTTCTCCTGCTCCTAGCTCTTGTGTTCCTTATAATTCCTGGTTCAAGCTCTGAGCTGTCTATCAACTCAGATTCACTATTTAAATTATTTAAAGGGACACATAGCTGCTTGACCAGGCTCCAAATGGCCTGTAAAAGATGCTGCAGTGTTTTAAGCTCTAACTTGCAGCAACTTGCTGTGCAAAAAATTTCATGGAAAGGGCAAAACTAACAAATGACCAATGTAATTCACTTGCCAGTTCCAGTAAGCTCTGACCTTGACCAGATGAACTGCTTTAGTGATGTTGGTTGACAGATAAATATTGGACACTTGGAAGGCAGGGAAAATTTTCTCTGCTGTTCTTTGAATTAGTGCCATATCTAAATTTGAGAGGGCAGGGGGGTAATCCTCTAGCTTTGTATTACTTCCTTGGTACTAAACTGAGACATCAATCTAGATTTAATCAGTCTTTGAATGGGAAATGGCATTCATTATTCTGTATGGAGATGTAATTGTCACTACTTTGGGCAAATCATGCTCATTTGTGGATACTTAATAGGATCTTCAGCCACTGTAACAAGCAGAAGAACATTTCACTTGAAGGATGTCATTTCATCGACAAGTCAAGCTCACCCTCACCTGGACTGTGAAGCCTTCTCTTTCTTGTCGTCTTCTGTAAACTTCTGCAAATGCCATAGTCAATCCTTTCTCAATTCTCTGAGTGAAGTTGCAAAATCTCACGTCAACATAACGAGGGACAAACTGAAGAACTGAAGAGGAGGGAGAGGGATTAGACAAGAAATTTTTGAAGGTTGCAGAAAATGTCAGAAACATATCATTGGTTCATAATAACCAAAAGAACAATTGGATTTTGGTAAAAGGTATTCAGAAATGTCGCCACTTTCTGATAACCAGATTGCATGATCCTCCCTGCCTTTGCAATGGCCCACTCCCCGTCTGTTTCTGCCCCCTTTTGAGATAGTGCATTCCAAACTCTAGTGTTTAACAAATTGCTGTACAAAAAAAAAGTCTCTTATCTCCCCCAACTCTCTGGCTAATTATCTTACCTCCAGTTACTGGCCTTCCTGGCTTTGGAAACATTGTCTCTCTACCTACTCTATAAAACATAATTTAGAACTGCTCAACTAAATCTCCTCTTGACTTCTCTACTCTAAGAAGAACAGATTTATTCCCTGTTGTTTCACAGATTATGGACATTGCTAACAAAGCAACATTTCTTCCCCTCCCTCAACTATCCTTAAGTGGCTTACTCGGTAGTTAGGAAGCAGTTAAGAGTCAACCACATTGCTGTGGTCTAGAGTCACATGTGGGTCGGACCCGGTGAAAACAGCAGGTTTCCTTTCTCTGATAAACCAGATGAATTTTAATGATAATCAATGAGCGTTTTATTGCGATTCTAATATTTTCAATAACAGATTTCTAAGAAGTAATTAATTGCCTACTGGGATTTGCACCCATATCTCCAGAACACTGGCCTGGCTCTGTGGATCACTTGGTCCATGTCACACCACTATTGCCACCATTTTACAGTCTCTCCAGATTAAGTGAAGTCTATCATTCCGAGTAGCATTCGAATAAACCTATTCTGCACCCTCTCCAATGCTACCAGCCCACAAATTACTGAATGTTTTCAGAAAATGTTGATCCACAGGTATTTTCTAGATTTTTTTAAAGCAAGAGAAAGGAATATCTTTAAGATAGAACTGAAGTGTTACAGCCAAATGCACAGATGGCTCTGATAGTTAAGTGCAACGTGAACATACAAGATTGAGTAATGGTTTAAAATAAAGCAGATAAAGGAAAGTGACGGGAAAGGCTCAAAGATGGAGAGGAGATGTTATGGTTCAGTGGCAGAAAGAAGCAGAATATAAGTCACAGAGAGCTACGTTTTTCCTACCATACCCCAAATGCAGCTTTCCTCATCACAACATGCTATATAGCACTAATCAGCCAAGAGGAAAACAAAAGAGTTAGGGACAAATAAGAGAACGTTTTAAAAAAAAAGTATAGCAAAGGAAACAGTACAAAGACCCCAAATATGTAACAGAGAGGCCATACTCTCTGGTTTAATGTGTGTGATATCAAACTTATCAGCTAAAAAATGTTGAATTTAAATATTTCTTTTTCAGACGATTCTACAAAAGTCACAATTGCAAATTGACAAGCAAGTAGGCAATTTAGAATATCTTTCATCATAATAACAGGTCTAACTGAATGAATGAAATGTTTTTAAATTCTACTAACCATTCATTTTACTTTATCATTGTATTAAACGTATCAAACACTAGTTTGCATCTAGCCTCGTAACCATGGTTTAAGCAATCATGTAATCATGATAACTAAATAAAAAGCAATAAGTGTGGGGAGAAGATGAAATATGAGAGTAAGCTAGCTAGTGATATAAATGAAGATTGCAAGAGTTCTTTTTTAAGATATCTAAAAGGTAAGAAAGAGGCAAGAGTGGGCATTGTACCTCTGGAAAATGAGACAAGGGAAGTAGTATTGAGAAACAAAGAAATGGTAGAGGAACTGAATAGGTACTTTGCATCAGTTTTCAAAGTGGAAGACACCAGGAGCAAACCAGAACTTCAAGGGAATCAGGGGACAGAGGGGAGTGGTCATCATCAAGGAGAACGTCTTGGGTAAACCAAATGGTCTGAAGATAGATAAATCACCCCGACTAGATGGACTGTGGCCCAGAGTTTGGAAGGAGATTGCTGAGGGGATTATGGAGGCATTGGCAGTAATCTTTCAGGAATCACTAGAGTCAGGTAGGGTGCCAGAGGATAGAAAAATTGCTGATGTAACATCCCTGTTCAAGAAGGGAGGGAGGCAGAAGACAGGAAACAATAGGTCAGTTAGCCTGACCTCGGTCATTGCTAAGATTTCACATCCATATTTAAGGATGAGATTGCAGATAACTTGGAAGACCATGGTAAAATGGGAATGAGTCAGCGTGGCTTTGTCAAGAGGAGGTCATGTCCGACAAATGTGTTAGAATTCTTTGAGGAGGTAATCAGAAAATTAGACAAAGGAGAGCCAGTACACGTGATCTATTTGGATTTCCAGAAGATCTTTGACAAGGTGCTGCACAGGGGTCTGCTAAATAAGATAACAGCCCATGGTGTTAGGGGCAAGGGATCATGTGGATAGAGGATTGACTGACTGGCAGAAGGCAGAGAGTGGGGATAAAGGGGTCTCTTTTAAGATAGTTCCCGTGACAAGTGGAGTTCTGCATGAGTCGACATCTATTCACATTATAGATTAACAATCTGGATGACGGAACGGAGGGCATTGTTGCTAAATTGCTAAATTTACAGATGACACAAAAATAGGTGGAGGGACAGGTAATGTTGAGGAAGTGGGGAGGCTGCAGAAGAACTGGCTAGGACAGTGGGCAAAAAAGTGGCAGATGGAATACAATGTGGGAAATTGTGAGGTTATGCACTTTGCTGGGAAGAATAGAGGTGTAGACTATTTTCTGAACAGGGAAAGACTTTGGAAATCTGAAGCAGAAAGGATCTTGGAAGTTCTAGTCCAAGATTCTCTTAAGGTTAACATGCAGGTTCAGGTGGCAGCTAGAAAGGGAAATGCAATATTAGCATTCAGTTCAAGAGAGCTAAAATATATCAGCAGAGACGTACTGCTGAGGCTGTATAAGATTCTGGTCAGACCACATTTGGAAAACTGAGGCATTTTGGGTCGTGTATCTCAGGAGGGATGTGCTAGCATTAGAGGGGGTCCAAAGAAGGTTTACAAGAATGATCTTGGGGATGAAGGACTTGGCATATCAGAAGCAGTTCAGGATTCTGGATCTGTACTGAATGGAGTTTAGAAGGATGAGGGATGATTGCATTCAAACTTATAGAGTACTGAGAGGCCTGGATAAAGTGGATATTGAGAAGATTTTCCAGTAGTAGGAGACACTAGGATTGAGAGCACAGCCTCAGAGTGAACGGACGACCCTTTAGAATTGAGATTTGGAGGAATTTCTTCAGCCAGAGGATGGTTAATCTGTGGAACTCATTGCCACAGAGAACTGTGGAGGCCAAGTCATTGATTGTATTTAAGACAGAGATAGATAAGTTCTTGATGGTTTGATAATCAAGGGTTAAGGGCAGAAGGCAGGAGAATTGGGCTGACTGATAGCCATGATTGAATAGCAGGGCAGACTTGAAGGGCTGAATGGCCTAATTATACTCCAACATTCTTATTATCTTACGGTCTAATATGAACAGAGGTGGAGATCAACCTTTTCTACCCAACTTCATAATTTGTGTAACCCTCATTTGTCTTATTTGCAAGCCTGAAATGTCCAGATCTTTCTAACCTCTCCCATAACTTAGTTTTCTTGTATAATGTTAATAGATATAAAACCAGGGAATCAAATAAGTAAAAATCTTTTATGTTTGAGTATTCAGTTTTGCTCTCCACCTCCTTTGAAAATGCACTCTACATTTTCTTTCCCAAAGTTGTTGCATACACAGAGAATTACTTTTAATGGCATATTACCTGATCTTATTTATGGTGTTCTTTAAAGAAAGAATGCACTTCTTTCAAATACATTTTGCCTGAATAGCAAGACATAGCTGTTCTCAAAAGCACACTGAAAACACTGCTCAGTGCTTTTTCTAAAACAGGTCAAAGGACATGTTTCTTGAGAGGTTTAGAATGTCAGAACTTGAAATCAGAAACACACATGAAAAATCATAGTTTGTGACTCAAGCTATAAAATCACAAAGTTAGAATAAAATGTGAAGCTGGCACAACACTATGACTTTCATGCCTAGATTCTTCAAAAGATTTCAATAAGCAGAAGTAACAATATACTCTTACAGAATATCTCGCACACTTAAGGCCTGCCTCAGAGCAGAAACAAATCTATGTTTACTCTTTCAGCTTACTCACATCTTAAGTGTTTTACATTTCAGTATCACACTAATTTTCAGTATTTTCAGCAGAATTTAGCACATTCTAGTCTAGTAAAAGTAATTTGGCACCATCACTCTGACAACTCTTGTTGCTTGAGCACTATTCAATGGGAGATGGACCTCAAACAATGCATGCTCAACAAAGCTCTACTTGAGGCCAAGTAATGTACATCTCTTGCCAAGGAGGCTCAAAACTAAACATATCACAAGCTACAGCACTGCCTTGGAAAGAAATTGGACCCAGGTCAAGTGTCATTGAGGGGATTACCATTTTGCATTCATTATGAAAACAAATGCAGTTTAAGATCTAATGAAAAAAGTCTTCAGTTGTGCCAATAAGATTTTACTTAGACAAATGATATAAATGGCATCACGATTTAACTGGGAAGACTGCACTAATAATTGAGCCCCACAGGCCATCACAAAATGTGTAAATACCCGATTAAACCATCAACATGACCAATTTGCTTGATTGCTATTTAGGACAAAAACAATTCACACTATGTCTTGTTATTAAGAGAAAAACAACTATTTATTGTAAACACACTTAACTTTAACAATCAGGAGAAAAACAATAGGGTTACTAACCTACTATACAACTTAAACTACACCCCTTTAAAAAATCCAAATTCACGCACACTCATTCACGATTAAGACAGACAAAAAACAGACAGTTTAACACAAACATTACAGATGGAAAGATAGAGACAAGGGAAACAAAATTCTGAAGATCAAAAGTCTAGATCCCAAAAGTGGGCTAAATTGTCTGTCATGGTTCTTTTTGATTTTAACAATGGCCATACACTGTAGTCTGTAAAGCAATGGTAATTCTTCATTTCAATAGTTGATCCAGGCTTTTCCTCATATTAGAATTCCTTATGCTTCTTGGTTTTTCTATGCCTTTTTGATCATATAGAGAGAAGAGGCGGGAGACAGACAGAGAGACAGAGAGAGAGAGAGAGAGAGAGAGAGAGAGAGAGAGAGATGTTCTACATTTGAGCATCTCTGCACTGACAGATCTGTAACAAACTGCAGCTCGATGAGTCAGGCAGTTTTCACATAACTCAAAGACACATGGTACCACTCTGTTTCAAAGTATCCTCTCACTGCTTCAAAAAGTAACGTTGTTGTGCACAGCCAAAAACTTAAATTTTCCCAAGTTGCAAAGTTCCTGGTATTCAGCTATGCAGCGGTGTCCAACTTCCATTCCAGTTTATAATCCAAAAATGAAATATGTATAATTCCGTACAATAGATGGCACTAATAATAAATATTCTATTACACTACTGAGCTGATCATGGTCAGTTAATGTGGCATGGTTCTGTCAAACTGGCCAAAAATTTCAGGTCTTATTAATCTAATTGATTATTTTTGAGGAGTTTACTAATAAATTGGAAAAGGGACAGTGGGCCAGATTCTGCAGTCAGTAGCAAAGGATCAGCACTTATCCTTCACCTCGCTGACAACAGCCTGCAAGTTTCCAACACACTTTTGAGTCCTGTTCTTATTGGATCCACTGTGATGCCCACCACATGGCATGTGAGCAGGATAAGAAATTGCAAAATTCTTCAACCATAGTGAAGAATCTTCACAGAAAAAGACAAGTCTAAACCAAGAAATAAAAATTAGCTTTTGATCGAGTACAGAAAACTGAATAGAGATGAAATTAAAAGAGAGATGGATGAGACAGTAAAGGTTTAAAAACATTGAAGGTATTAAATTTTTGTTTATATTAAAATGTTTAGGTCAACCTTCAAACCTTTGAAAAGTTATTTCAAAGATGGAGGTCGACATACAGTTTATAAATGCACAATAGCTGGTTTTGGTGGTTGCAATCTTGATGTAAAAAGAAAGATAACACCAGCACTTCAAACTAAATCAGTATTTTAATTAATTAAATAATTCCACAAGAAAATTTTGAACAACATTCATGAAATTTTAAAAATTTTCAAATTAATCATGCACAGCATCCAACACAGGGTTCATCAAAAGCAAATTTGGCAATGGCATTATAGTCAAGGATCTGGCTCAAGATTAAATTTAGTATTTTCAGTTTCAGAATCCTCTCTCCGCAATGAGTTATCTTCCTCCACATGCATCAAATTTGAAAGCAACCTAAGGACAGTTTGTGTATCAATAGTCTCTTATAATTTCAAAACCATAAAACAGCAAGCAAGGCACCATTCTTCTTGAAAATTTTTTTTTGTCTCAACCAATCAACTATTCCATTTGATACAAACCTGGTTCCTAATTAGTTTGTTGAGACATGTCAAAGGGTTAAACTACAGACGTTAGATCCTGTGGTATAACTCCAAATTGCATGTTATTTCTTCACAGCTTCCTCTTGATCTTATTGGCTACTAATAAGTTGTGTTATTTGCACAGGCCACCAGAATACCTACTCCAACACCATGAATTATGCACAACATCATTGCATCCTCATCTTTCAAACATTTTCATGGACTTGCAAAAAAACTCCTGCAGGAAACTGTATGAAGTTAGAAAATGACCATAAAATTTAATTTTATTCCATCAGCCATGTAGGCTAGTACCACTGTGAATGTGTCCTCTCGCCCTGCAGTTTTCATTAGAACATTTTCAAACTTCTTGATTCTACAACTCAGTTGGAATATCAGGATATAGGGTCGTTCCATCCAGGTTGTCAATGCAACAATAGGTATTCATGTTTTGCTGCCATCTGATGAAGAATTGTTGGAAACTGGTAATTTTGCATCAAAGTCTTTTGATAGTTTCTGAGATAATCTCCACAGCACTAGACATACTTATTCCACAATACCAATATACCAAGTAACTGTTTTACTGAAATCTTTGTTGAAATAGAACGTTATTTGCTTCACCTAAGTGTACATACATGCGCTGCATTTCTGGTGACAATGTAATCATTTTGACAATCTGAGAAGATTAATTCCAATATGTATGTTTTAGGATCAGGACAGTGGCTAGTCCCTATTCTCATGGTACGTTTGGTCTTGGGCATCTTCTCCAGGATAGATCCTTCCTCTTTGCATTTTCTCTTGAGTTTTTCACCAATTCCGAACTCCCTTGATGCAGTTAATATTATGTCAGCTGATGATAATGCTGGACAGGTCATATCCCAGAATGAAACTGGACTTACTGGATCATCTATTTATTTTTGTAATTGGTCAATCACTGACACATATTGCCATGAGGCTGCAGATATCCATTAACAACAGGGCATAAAAGTTTATCACTAAACAAGGCTAGATATATACGCTACCATTAGAAAGATCTAAACACAAACATCCAAATAAAATTTCACCTTGCTTCCGAATACCATTTGTTACAATTCAATTTCAGAAATATCACTCTTTTGCCAGCTTTTCAAATGCTTACTTAAGGGTCATGTTTTAGTTTATTCCCCTCATACACTGAGACTATGTTTTACGATTTCTTTCTGAATCTGCTGTCAAGAACCTTTCATAATTCTGATGGTGTAAACATTCTCTGTTCTAAAATCCTGAAGAGCACAATCAAGCTCTGCTAGTTTAGAGGCTTCACTCATAGCACTGAAGTGCACCATTCCTTCTATAAAAACAGCCCACATCTAGGTCTGAACCCTTTCCAGGGAACTCTTTCCAGAGTCAGCTGGTCTAACATTAGGCGGCATCAGCCTAGCAATGAAAATCACGTCTCTGGATCAAGTATTTGCCTGGGTACAAGATAGATACATGAAGCTGAGATTTTCTCAACTCCCATTATCTGCCCCAAAGATGAAAACCTGACCCAGACAGATACAGAAAGAGTGCAATCTGACATAAAAATTCACAACTAATGAAGTGCTCAGTGAAGACGTGATTGATGTGTGAGTGTATGCAAGAAGCACCTTTCCTTTCTCCTCCATCTCCTTTACCTTGTTCTTGAGGCTGCATTGGCAGCAGATTTCATGTCTTATTAATCTAATTGATTATTTTTGAGGTAATGGACAGTCCTCCATGAGGTTGAAGGCACTGCCAAAGGTCATGATCACCAAATGTGCTGATTATATTCTCACAGATTGCCATGCTGTTGACAAGAATGATAACAGGATCCATCCTCAGCAGAGCTTAAAAGCGTTAGAGTGTGGAGAAGATTCTCAGGCAATAGTTTAGCAGCAGGGGTAGGAAGAGGAGAGGGAGAGGCCATAGAGGCTCACAGTCTCCATGGCAACTGATAGCAGGATGGATGAGACTCAGACTCCATAACAACTGACAAGAAATCACCAGAAGAAAAATCTCAACCAGGATGGAGGATGGATTGCTGCCTTTCCAACCTTCTTTCTCCCCAGTTCAAAATTTATTTATAGACAATAGTTGGATCTTCTTTATTATTATTGGTAGGGAGAAGAACAACGTTGCTGGCCACCTCCCATTTCTCCTTCCTTAAAGGCTTGATTCCTCCAATAATAGCCTCACACATTGCTGCCCTAAACACAGATTTCCTGCCTAATTCAGGAATGTTAAGGCCAATATAATTGTACAAACTCAGTACAGACAAGGGTCGCAAGCTAGAACCTTTCGACTTATATGACTCATTACCATAAGGTAGTAAGGGCGTTGAATTACCATAAGGTAATAAGTAGTAAGGGCGTGGAATGCCCTGCCTGCAAAAACAGTAGACTCGCCCACTTTAAGGGCATTTAAATGGTCATTGGATAAACATATGGATGATAATGGAACAGTTTAGCTTAGATGGGCTTCAGATTGGTTTCACAGTTCGGCGCAACATCGAGGGCCGAAGGGGCTGTACTGCGCTGTAATGTTCTATGTTCTATGTTCTATAACCAGTTGGTTCAGTTAAGAGAGCTCCATAACCGGTTTTATTTGCAAAACATGCCCCAATATATGTCATTCACTTGACAGCTTGATGTGATAAATTTTGGACTGAATGCAGGTGTCAAAAATTTTGAACTAGTCACACTATTTGAGTATTAACAGTTTGCCAATGAATCAGTTAACGTATTGTATGGCCTCACCAATTTTAACCTGAGCCTGATGGTCTGGCACAGATAGAGCTGGCTGGAGGGAAAGGATGAGTGGGGCGTTGCCACTAACAAGTGCAGATTGAGTGAGCGAATTAAGCACAGCTGGTCCAGAGAAAACAACGGAGCCGGCAGTTACCATGAATGTGAGCTCTTGTTTTGATTGGAGAATCTGGAATTGGACAACAAAAAACACAATGCAGCACAATAAGTAACAGATAACTTGCTTCTAAAAGTTTAATTTCAATAATAGGTTTTGAACATGAAAAGCACGCCTTGATGAAATAATACTCTAGAGCACAAATTCTTCAGAACGTAACTATAAAATAGCACATAGAATCAGAAACAACCTTTCAGACAGAGAGTATTTGTGAATTTAAGAAGTAACTGAAAGCACTATTATGAGATATATTTTGAAGTCATGTGTATTGCACTGATCTTTCACATAACAGCCCTAAAAAGGCCAGTTCTGAGGAAGGGTCACCGGACCCAAAACATTAACTCTCATTTTCTTCACAGATGCTGCCAGACCTGCTCAGCTTTTCCAGCAACTTCTGTTTTTGAGCCGCAAAAAGGAATACCTTATCATGCTACTTATTCCAAAAAGAGTTCCAAACCCAGTATTAAAACAACCACTATTTTGAGCACAGTAAGAGCCCATTCACTACAGTGTAATTCTGGGGACTAACAGACAATTTTGATCAGAACATTTGGGAATATCACTAGCTCTTCCTCAAGTAACTGCTTTTGAATTGGAGGAAATAGATGGTGCTAGATTTGGATAGGGTTTATTCCAAGGTTCTGTGCTGTTCTTGTTATATTATGGATTAAACTTGCGTTAGGGATTGGGTGAGCATGAGCACGAGCATCTTAACTGTTTTTTGGTTATTTATTCAAATGCAAACATTTTTGGCAAGGTCACATTTTTTTTTCCCTTCTCCTAGTCCCTTGGCAGAACATCACCTTTCTTCTTGAACCACTGAAATCCATATAAAGGAACTCCTGCCAATTCTGTTAATTTGCAGATTAATTTGCAGATGACATAAAGGAGATATGTAACAGCCTCTAGAAGGACAGACAGGTGAGCCAAAAAGCCATACATAAAGAACTTTGGATAAAAATGAATACTCGTTCACTTTTAAAAGAGAGATACTAAACATGTGGGGGATTAGCAAAGAAATCTAGGTGTTTAAACAGACAGTTCCCTGAAGATTCAATGTAAAGCCAGAAAAGACTAACTGTATTTAATATTCATACACGAGTGCTTAAAACAAAAGAATGAAGATCTATCGATTTAAAAAGCAGTTAAACAATTCAAGTACCATCTACAATTTTGGCTGCTACAATATAAGAGAATATTTAAGCAACAGAGTGCTTTCAGCATTGATTCAACAAGATGGGAAACTTCTGCCGTAAGTACAATCAAGATACTGGGATCTCTTCCATGGGAGCAAAGAGGAGATTCAGTAAACTTTGAAAATTATAAACAGCTTCAATAAGAAAGAACATTTCCTTCGTTTGGAGGATGACTGACAGAAGTGGGAAATCATTAATAATGTCACAAGCAAAGAAGAGAGGTTAGGAAACACTTCTTTAGTCAAAAGGTTGTTGGAATGTGTGATGTTTTACCAGAGGAGCAAAGATAAAGGTGGAAGCTATCTTTCGTAAAGAAATTAGTTTTGAATTCTAGTAAGGGGCAGTAAAAGTCCAAATTGCCTTTATCCGTTGGTGTTAACTATGATACTGTAGCATACCTGAAGAAGGAATACTTCTCAAAAATATTTTTAAGTAGAACAAAACTGCAGAGGCTAAACAGGAAATAGTTGTGGAAAATTGAAGATAAAGTCAACAGCTTTGAACGCATCTACAGAAACTGAAAAATATATTTTTTTCCTGATTTAGCACAGGTACAATAATTAGACAAACAAAAAATTTCAACAAAAAACTGAACATTTGAACAGTAAGGCCAAGTTCAAGTCTCACCTGCTCCAGAGGTATGTCATAATACATAAGAAGAGTGAGGGAGATACTAACTAGGGTGCGGCAAGATGATGTGGAGGTGGGTAAAGGTAGATGGGAGGAGAGAGAGAGAGAGATGGGGATTGGACAAGGAGAGCTAGACAGGAGTGCAAGCGAGGACGAGAATGGGTGGAAAAGGGTGAGAGAGGGGCATGTGAGGGTGAGGTAGTAAGGAGTGGGAGAGGTGTGAACGCAAATGGACAAAGAGAAATCAGACAAAGAAAAGGCCAGGGCCTGGGAAGACCCTAGGGAGTCAAATACATTTGAGACTATGTTCACTGAAGTCAGCAGCGATGAGGATCCAGGTACAGATCAGACAAAATTTTGCTTGTGGAGCCCAGAAGATCAAACCTGCTTCACTTGGTCCAAAATGAACCCTAAAAATAAACTGTTAAAATCATATTTTTGCCATCTTCTTCTTTTGGAACAGTCAGGACAAGGTCAAGGCGTTGTGGGTCAACCTACAGGATGTGGACTGATGCAGTTCAAGAAAGCAGCTCATAGGCACCTTGTCAAGGGCAATTAGGGTCAGGCAATAAATGCTGGTTAGCAGTGACATCCAATTCCCACGGGCACTGGGATATTATAGCCATAACTGAAACATGCCTGAGAGAAGGGCAGGACTGACAGCTCAACGTTACAGGATACAGAAGTTACAGGCATGACAAAAGTACAAGCAAGAAGGGGGAGTTGCCTTTTTGATAAGGGAGGACGTAACAACAGTGCTTAGAGAGGATTTTCTTAAGGGGTTAGCAGATGAGGCCATATGGTTAGAACTTAGAAACAAGAAGGGGACGATCCCTCTGTTGGGATTGTATTATAGACCCTCAAATAGCCAGTGGGTACTAAAGGAGCAGATGTGTAGAGAGATTGCAGGTACTTGTGCGAATAACAGTGGTATTGGTTGGAGATTTCAATTTCCCCTGTATTGACTGGGCCACCGAGTGAGTGAAGGGCGCAACACTGGATCTCCTCTTAGGAAACAAGGTCGGGCAGTGACTGAAGTGTCAGCCGGAGTGCACTTTGGGTCTAGTGACGATAAGTTTTAACATAGTTATGGAAACAGATACGACAGGTCCACAGGTTAAGGTGCCAAACTGAAGGAGGGCCAATTTTGGGGGCATTAGGCGGGATCTAGCAGAGGTTGATTGGGTGAGTCTGTTTGAAGGAAAAGGAATGACTGGCAAATGGGAAGACATTTAAAAGTGTGATATCAAGAGTCCAGGGACAGTATATCCCTGTTAGGGTGAAGGGAAAAGCTGGCAGATTTAGGGATCCCTGGCTGACAAGGAATATTGAGGCTCTGATCAGGAAAAAGAAGGCAGCATAGATTGGGTTTAAGCTATTGTGCTCAAGTAAATCCTTAGATGACGATAAAAAGTGTAGGAGCACGTTTAAGAGGGAAATCAGAAGAGCAAAAAGAAGGTATGAGATGGATCTGGCAGATAAGCTTAAAAATAATCCCAATAAGTTCTATGGCTATATTAAGAGTACAAGGGTAGCTAGGGAGAGAATACGTCCCCTTAAAGATCAGCATGGCCGTCTACGTGTGGAGCCACAGGAGATGGGGGAGAATTTTAATGAATGTTTCTCTTCAGTTTTTACTGAGGAGAGAGTCATGGATGCTAAGAAAATAAGGGAAACAAGTGGGGATGTTTTGGACTGCATGCATATTACCAGAGAGGTGGTGTTTGCAACATTAAAGCGCATTAAGGTGAATAAATCCCCTGGGACTGATCAAGTCTATCCTCGGATGTTGTCGGAGACTAGGGAAGAAATTGCAGAGGCCCTTGCAGTGATTTTTGCTTCATTTTTAGCCACTGGTGAAGTTCCAGAAGATTGGAGGGTGGTGAACATTGTTCCATTGTTTAAGAAAGGTAGCAAAGACAGAAACTACACACCAGTGAACCTGACATCAGCGGTAGGCAAGTTATTGGAGAGGATATTGAGGGACAGTATCAATCAATCTTTGGATGGTCAAAGTTTGATAAGGGGCAGTCAGCATGGATTTGCGCAGGAAGTCAAGTCGGACAAATCTTTTAGAGTTTTTCGAAGAGGTAACCAAGAGGATAGATGAGGGTAGGGCAGCAGATGTTGTCTTTATGGACGTTAGTAAGGCCCTTGACAAGGTCCCGCATGGCAGGCTAATCATGAAAGTTAGGTTGCATGGGATCCAGGGAGAACTAGCTAACTGAATTCAAAATTGGCTTGATGGTAGGAAGCAGAGGGTAATAGTTAAAGGCTGTTCCTTAGACTGGAGGCCTGTGACTAGTGATGGGCCACAGAGGTCAGTGCTGGAACCTTTGTTATTTGTTATTCACATAAATGATTTGGATGTGAATGTACAAGGCATGATTTGTAAGTTTGCAAATGATACAATATTAGAAGGTTACATTGATAGTGAAGAAGATTATTGAAAATTACAGAGGGATCTTGATCGGATGGGTAAGTGGGCTGAGGATTGGCAAATGCAATTCAATACAGATAAATGTAAGGTGTTGCATTTTGGAAAGTCAACCAAGATAAGACTTATACAGTAAATGATAAGGTCCTGATCAGTGGTGTGAAACAGAGGGACCTAGGAGTACAAGCACACAGCTGAAAGCGGTGTCACAGGTAGACAGGGTGGTGAAGAGGGCATTTATCATGCTGGCCTTCATTGGTTGAGGCTTTGAGTATAGGAGTTGGGACGTTATGTTACAGTTGTATAAATCATTGGTGTGGCTGCACTTGGAGTATTGTGAACAGTTTTGGTCACCCTGTTATGGGAAAGATATAGTTAAACTGGAAAGTGTGTAAAGAAGATTTATGAGGATGTCACCAGGACTAGTATGCCTGAATTGTAGGGAAAGTTCAGCCAGGATAGGACTTCATTCCTTGGAATGCAGAAGAATGAGGGGTGACCTTTTTGAGGTGTGTAAACTCAAAGGGCATAGATAGGATGAATGTATATAGTCTTTTTCCCAGGGATGGGGAATTGAAAACTAGAGGGCAAAGGTTTAAGGTGAGAGGGGAAAGATTTAGGAAGGACCTGAGGGGCAACTTCTTCATGCAGAAAGTGGTGCATATATGGAATGGCAGAGAAAAGTTGTTGAGGCAGGTACAATACCAACATTTAAAAAGCATTTGGATAGGAACATGGATGGGAAGGGTTTAGGGAGATATGGACGAAATGTGGGCAATTGGAACTAGCTGAGTGGGCACCATGCTCAGCATGGACCAGTTTGGGCGAAGGGTCTGTTTCTATGCTGTATTACTCTATGTCTCTATATGAGCAATAGATCACAGGATGTTATTGCAGTTTACTTCAATGTACAATATAGTTCAAACAATGAACCTGAACTTTAAACTCATATTGTACTAATAATTCCTCAGGTCTAGATATGTTGTGGTTACCTGAAGTTCCACATGTCGTTTGAAATGTTGACTCAGTACATCCTTAATTGATTGGACCACATCCTGCAGTGTCGTCACCTTGTTAGAGAGCACTGTAGAATAAAATATATGCATTAAAGTATCACTTCTCCATTCAACAACATTCTGTATTTCCACTGCAGATGTTGCATATGAATGGATAAGATTGGACTGATTTTCTTTGCCTTAAGTCAACAACTCAAACCAAAAAGTTAGAAAGCTAATCCTCAAAATAAACAATGATAATAACTCCACAAAATGAAGCATGAAATTAGTAAAGAGACAAGAGAAAACCAATGCACTACCATTCAGTTAATAATTTTTTGGCACCTGCAGCACTTCCACAGGAAATTATTTCCTAAATAGTATATGATTAACTTACTCAAAAGCATCCACATGAACTGAAAACAGAATGTAGATACACACCATCTAAAGCTAGATATTCACCTCAACTATGGCTCCAGTGCTTCATTTAAACACTTCTGACAATGATATAGCAATGCAAAAATGTAATCCAATTGAATTTTTGGAACAGCGAGTTTTGTTTCTTCCTTATATTGACAGAAATCACACCATCACATTGCATGTCGCTTTACCATCTTATAAGATCATCCTGAAAACTGTCTGCAAGATCTTCAGAAAGGGCTTCCAAAAGTGACAGCTGAGATCATAAATGGAGCTGCAAGCATAAATCTGGGGTTCAGAGATAACCATGGCTGACTCCCACTTCCATGCCTCTCACTGGCCTTCTTCTCCCTGTTCCACCTCTCATTGAGATGTCACAATAATGTTCAAACTTGAAATGGGGTCACAATGGGAAATGATTTGGAAAGCACAGACTTAGAAATTCACAAACTTTACTTGGGAGGAAACATTTTTCACACAAGATTTTTATGTACCAGGAAGGTTACCTTACTCATCCAATTTCGCTGACCTAGGATGTGTCCAAATTTGTCCAGCAAAGCATTTAGTTGCATTTTAAATTATCTTTCAAAAGTTGCTTTGCTCCTTCATAGTAAATAATGTAGCTCAAAATAGTGCTCTGAAATAATAATTTGCAGCACTGCCACTTTATTTCAATCCAGTGTCAATTTGGTCCACGCACCTGAATCGGGTTTTAGGTACAAGCTCAACTCCATCAGAACACAGTCAAGGCCTATACTTAATTACAAAACTAAAAGAAACCATGTTGCTGAAAGTGTCATCTTTGGTAAGATTAGACACTGTAGTGCCATAAATCTGTTCGTTATTTTCAGTGGACTGTTAACATTGGTTAACAATACACTTTCCAAACAGAGATAGAAACTTTATTGGTTCTGAAGATAAAAGAAAATTCCTACCTTTGTCGGATTGCTGATTATGTGACCACAAAAGAAGAAATCAAAGTAATGTTTAGATATAATGGGTGGAACTGTCCCAGTCAGGAAGATGCAGCTTTCCTTATGTGCCCAAGCCTAAATGACACTAGTTCAGAATCCTAACATCATCCCACCCTCTGCCAGATTTCACCTGAGCTGCACTGAAAACAGGGGAGAACCCCTATATCACTGTTGGATAAGTGATTAAGATATTCAAAATAGATTTACCTGAATTCAAAGCCCAGACAGTATTTCCAACATATCAACAACTCTCCAAGGTAACTGGATATAGAGCTTCTTCAGCAAAACTAAAGATCTGCAGAGTTTTTGATCAATGAAACAGAATAGCAACAGCCATAGCCAAGTCAGAGGCTACTGATTAAAATAGTTTTTCTCTCAGAGGGTGCTACCATTGCTTTGCAGGTGATTGCCAACTTCCCAGAAGTTACTTAACCTGTCTGGTATTTGACTTACGTTCAGCTGTACTCCTCCTCGCAGTCAGATTTGAAAGCATGGGAGCAGTTTCTATTGCTCAACCATGCAAATCTGAAGAAGAGCAAAAGGACCAGCAGCACTTAACACTAACAGCACTGGCAACTTTCTCCTCAGCCAAATGCATTGTTCATTTCCTCTGCACAATGAAAATGAGCACCAGCTAGGAGGCAGCAACAGCCCAACACAGAGATCCATAGAAACAGGAGCAACTCTCTCAACTTGTTTAAGTGTCAGTATCTCACAACTGACAGCGGTAGCCTCCAGAAAGATTTGCTTCTCAATGGAGCACATGGGTGTGCACTTTCAATGGCTGATAAGATGGTTGTCAAAAGAGGCTAGTTCACGACCCTACCCATTACAATGCTCAGATCTCTGCCTCTCACACGCTGTGTGCTTCCATCTGCAAGAGAAGTGTGAGTGTTCATATTGGCTTATTGTCCTTTCCTTCCCCTTCATACATATGTGGAGAGTGACTGAGGTGAGGTTGCAAGATGGCAAAAGGCTGAATGAGTGATGGCTGCTTTTAGGAAAATGAGATGTGAGAGCAGAATAACTGCAGCTGCAAGGCATGTTATCCTGAGGAATTCTTGTGGGACTATGTTGGAAAACATAACAGTGCTGGACTCGGCATGCGAAGGTGTTATACTGCTCATCTCAAATACAGTCTTGGAGTCCCAGATCTTCTTAGTTTACTGTTCCAGTATTGTAGGGACCGTACTTATTCTTTTGTGTTTGGTCAGTTCCATCCACAGATGCTCGGTTAGAACTAGTGTCCTCTTAGTCTAGTGCTTGGGAGAGCTCACGGCATATCTCAGCTGACTTCAATTAACAATCACTGACATAAGTCACAAACCTGGAAGAGGGTGCATCATAGATTATCCTGGGTCAAGATATGTTTTTGTGGATAATGAGCAGCAAAGTACACAATGGCTCATTCAAATGCAATGACCAAGCACACATCCAATCCAAAAATCTAACACCTTTGAATAGGCACTGAAAAGATTCACCCTTTTCCTTTTGATATGACAATTGATTTAATAGATGGAACCAGCCTACCTCCTGGAAAAAGTAAACACCATAAAGATGCATTTGTGCCCATTTCCTTACACATTTGTTACATTAGCCATTCCTGAAACTGGCATGTCGAATGAGAACAACCTGTTTGTTTTCAATTGGCTAGAAAACTATCAATCAATCATGAAAAAAATTACAGAATAATATCCAATTCATCAATACAACAGGCAGCTTCCTTCTCCTAAACTTCAAACCCAGGTTCAGGCAATAGTCATCTGGAGAATTCACCATACATTTAGATCAATCTACTAGGACTGTTACATATTCTACAAGACCTTAATTTGATTCCTGGAAGAGCATGCAATGCAAAAACATCTCAGGAAAGCACAATCTTATAGGCACTCTTTATTAAATATCTATCAATGTAATTGTGGAAGGAATCAAAACGGGGACAGAAAAGTAGGACACCTAAGCATGCTCACAAGCTAGCGCTAACCGCACCTGGTTCCAGTTAAGCGCAGGAAGTTCTAAACCGCACCCAGGTTATGTTGCAAGAGTTTTAAGCAGATGATCTACTGATAAAACGTTATTTTGCTAAATCAGAATATGATTGGTCTATTGTGTTGCTAAGACTTGAATTCAAAATGTAATTGGTCAATAAATGGGACGCCGATTCGTATATAAAAGTCTGATTGCAACTGCCGGTATCTGACTCGCTATGTTGCGATTTCTACAACTCGCTCGCTGACTCTCCTTGTGTGCAAGTAATAAAGAAAGCATTGTACTATCATCTGACTGTTCATTTTGACAGTAATTCTTGGAGGTTCCACCGAATGCCTGACTCTTTGGTTTGGAGCATGGGCCTAGAAACTGTATCTCGCCGGTAAACGAACTAGCTGTGGCAAAAAAAAAAGTGGGGACGTTTTCCTCTTTGATTTGTCTTACCAGCGAGAATCAGGGTTGTGTCCTCTGTACAAGTACAAGGCAAACCATCGACGATAATACAACAATACACCAGGGGTTACAGTCCCCTAGATGAGGGGTTAAAGACCTTTGGGTTAGGAGTTAGTTGTCCCCTAAATGGCATATGGGGTTGGAAGCCCCAAGATATTATAAGATCAGATGTTTATTTTGGGAAAAATTGGGTTAGTACTAAAATCAGATTAAAGGCTTGTCATTGGAATGGGAGATGATGTCTCTAATGAGGCGCACCTTCAGAAAGAGACACCTTCTAGCATATATGTATGTTCATTCTGGGCCCAACTCAGGTGAAATTTGTGGACAAATGGGTGAAGTGGACACAGAAAACTGAGAAGCCAATTCCACCTATTGGCACATTTATTTGTGATTGAATAAAACAATTAGCAGAAATTTTGGGAAAAAGGAGGAAAAAGAAACGAGAGAGAGAGAGAGACAGACAGACAGACACCAGCTATTGATGCTGCGTTCGCTGAACTAAGTATTAACTCTTTGTGGTCTGTTTTGAATGCACCTTTGTTTATTGGTGGTTAAATGTTGTCTTGTGTAATTTTTGTGTTTTCATTCCCTGGAGCTCAACATATCACCTAAGCTCCTGGGTAGACGTAGGGGCTGGGCTACTTTTGATCATCCTCACTATCTTCCAACAGTTGTAACCCAGTCTTGTCGACCCTGTAGCCTAAGTAGGTCGCTTGAGGAGTCTGGAACACACATTTTTCCTTCCTAGCATATGCCTGCTTTGGAAAAATGCCTTAGGACTATAATTGAAGTTCTCGAAGTGTTCCTTATTAGTGTTCTGTTATTCAGGATGTCATCCAGGTAAATGGTGATCGGAGGTAGACCTTACAAAATATTCTCCATCATCCACTGAAAAATTGAGCAGCCTGATGATATGCTGAATGGCAGTCTCACCTATTGGTACAAGCCCTTATGGATATGAATTGTAGCATACTTCTGAGAATCCTGGCCTAAACACAATTGCAAGTGTGGCTCATGTCAAGCTTTGTGAAGGAAAAACAGTTTACTATTAGTTTAAACTCCACATAAGGTGAACTGACCCATTGGGCTTTAAATCGGTATGGCCAGTGTTGCCCATTCTGCAAACTGGACTCGTAGTATGATTCCTTCATTTTCCAATCTTCTAAGTTATGCTTCTTCTTTTGCCCGTAAGGCAAATGGCACTAGGCGGGCCAATCAGAATCACAGATTTGCAATTCCTGGCCAACATGCAAAGTTGCTTTGGCTCCTCTCATAGTCACAAGACCTGGCTGGAAAGCTTCAAGTATTTAACTAGAACTTCACTCAGGCAGCCATTTTCTAATTGGAAAAATGTTGAGCCAATCCAGATGAATCTCTTGCAAACAATTTCACCCCATCAAGCTTCAGCCCGAGCCTTTTACTACACTCGCTGGTAACCAAACCAGCTGCCTTTCACAAGACTGCAATTAATGTTGTACCCTTAATCTGCAAAAGTTCCATGGTGTAGGTTCTCAGCGTAGCTGAAGTTTTGCACAAATTTGAGGGCTGGAGTCCAAAGCAAATTTTGTCAAGAACTGGTTCTGTGATCACTGATATGGCCGTACTGGTAACCAACTCCATTTTAACCAGATGGCCATTTAACCAAATGTTTATCTTGACTGGTTCTAATTTGGATGTTGCCAAGTAATTTAACTGTTCCAAATCAGATGCAAGTGGAGTTTCCAGTATATGAACTCTCCTGGATGCCCTCCTGGATACAGGCCTATGAATTATCTTACTCCATTTAATTCTAGTAGGACTCTGTTCCTGTCCCAAATCTGCATATCAACAAAAATTACAGTTTCATCAGGCAGGATTCTCAAGAAAATTGTAATCGTTTGGCTCAGACTGGGCTTAGTTTTGAAATTTTGCTGTGCACTGACCTAGAATTACTCTTATCAGGACTTTTCCTGAGTGGAGTTCAGGCAACTGCAGAGCCTAAGTGCTACTTGCCAAGCTCCGGCGGACTGGTGAGTGTGTCCACACCCACTGGAATACCTTGCAACTCATGTGCTTCACTTGCGCATTTTCCAATGATAAAGCCGGTTTTAGCGCTTGTTTGAAGTCCAGTTGAGCTTCAGCCAGTCAGTGCTTTTGTGTAGTCATATCATTAATCCCGAATACTAGACGGTCTCGAAGAATCTCATGAAGGGTTAAAGCAAATTCACAGGCTTCTACCAGTCATCTCAACCTAGTCAAAAACCTGGTTCTCGAATTGCTGAGTAAAAACAATAATGTCTCAGAATTACCTAGAGTACTGTGTAAGGTTTCAACCACCAAACTTACATAGGGCCAGCTCTCCGTTGCATTGGAAGAAGCTCATAAATGGCTCACTAGGCTAGTACTGGGACATGGTGATTTTACTTTGAGAAATATTTGAGCAGGTTGGGCATATGCTTATTAGAGTTTGGAAGAATGGGAGGAGATCTTATTGATCCATGAAATTCTGAAGCTGCTTAACAGACAGGATGTTCACGTCATAAAGGAATCTAGAACGAGGGGGGCACTATTTATATCAAAGGAAGAGGTCTCCAATTTAACAGAGAGATGAGGAGGAGTTTCTCCTCCCAGAAGATCTGTCTCCCAGTGAATAAGGCAGATTAGGTTATTGAATATTTCAAGGCTAAGTCAGACAAACCTTTGACTGATGAGGGAGTCAAGTCAGGTAGGAAAATGGGCAACAATAAGATCAGCCTTGAACTTACTGAACTGGTGCAACAGGCTTGAAGAATTGAGTGGCCTGCCCCTTCTGATATTTACGTTCTTATTCCCTAACACCTCTTATGATTTAAAGTTAACCTGAATCTCTTACAATGATAGCTGCAGTAGATGCTGGGTATCTGTGGGATATTAATCTAACCTGGAAAACAATTACACATGCAAATGAGAAAGACAGTGAGCAAAAATGGTCTGCAAACCAGGGCATGGAACAAAAGGTGGCACAGATGCAAGCTTATCCTGGAGCAATATCAGGCACGGCCCCACTGCAGAGGATTTAGAGAGGAATCAGGATTGCAGTTACCAATGGGACAGCCTTCTTTTCCTTTAGATCGTTGTTTTTATTGCTCCATTCTGATCATTTGATGTGGCTCAGGAGATCCACTATGGCATGGCAGTTTCTGCTGCATTTGCTACAGAAGAAAACAGTTGACTGAGGAGGTGTTCGATATATTGACTTCTACTTTCTGTAGGCCTTCTTCTCAGCTAAGTGAGCTTTTTGTTTCTGCTTGCCCCTTCCCTTCCAGGGATCACACTCCAAGTTTCAAGCATCTATTAAAGCTGATATATTATGATGGGTCAGCACGTTAACAGTTGGGATGTTACCGGACTTGAGCAGTGTTTGACCAGTGGGGCACATCGCCCCCCCCAACCCTATGCCAATCAAGTTGGGGTAATTAGATATAACTGCTTTCTCTCATGCTGAGTTAGACTGTGCAATAATTTCATTAACAATCTCTATAAAGTAGGGGGAAACTGTTGCTACTGAATTTTAAGTCAGAGTTCAGTTGGTGCTCATGAAATTCTCAGATTTAATACAATCCAAAGAAGCTTTGTCTTTGGAAAAAGATGCCCAAATCAGGCTGGAAGCAGAAATGATAAAGTATCATAGAAATTCTGTGGGCAGAAGGAAAACCTTATCACAGGAAAGCAACAGAATCCATTCAGTTTATAAAGTATAAAAACACAAAAGACATTTGCATCAAGTCAACACAGAGAGTAGGCTGGACAGCACATACAAAGATTCAGTGCTATGGAACCAAAGAAATCTCACAAGCACAAGTATTACCCAGCTATTAAAACAAAGCTACAGTGCCTTTAAAACTACAGGTCATTTCCCGATCTATAGAAGACAGACACATAAATAGAGCAACACAAAATCAAATGGCTACTCAGCAAAGAAACACAATATACAGTTGGCGGATGCTGGAAATCTGAAATAAGTTCAAAGTGCTAAAGAAACTCAGCAGGTCTGGCAGTGGAGCATTTAAACAAAGTCAGCATTCTCATTTACAATTTCACCCACAAAAATACTGAAAATATAATCAGAATGAAATTCCTGCATACCCATCTGATATGGCTAATATATCTAGTAGTCTATATAAACTGAGTCTATTCAATCCTTCATATGACATACAGAAATTAAAATTTAAATACGATACAAATGCAATTCGTGCATTTAATCAGAACCCTACGTAACTTTGAAATGTTATCATGCTGCAGAGAGTGGCATGAGTGAGCTGAGTCCTAAAATAAAGATCTAAGAAGGTTGATTACAAACTATGCTCTAAGGAGTGTCTTTTGGCAAATTTGTCAGAACATCTATATTGTTCAAGATCATTTTTTTTGCCTATTGGAGTAGATGGAAAATTTCTAAACCAAAGGAATTGGTTCAAAAAGCAAGACTGACGTTGATCAGGGTTATTTCTAACTTAGTCAAGATACAACAATTCAAAACAATTTGGAGTTCTTTCAAATATAATTTTAACCATTACCTGCTTAGTGATTAATGTGCTTTCTTGCAGTTTACTGTAAATCTATGGTTACTGGGATAAATAAAGTACCTTTTTCACATGGATACAAGTCTTTGTGCAAAACTGAATTCAACACTATCTCTGAAACTCTACTTTGCAATTATACTTGCTTTACATTGACTAAGCAACTTAACTCAAGATGAACAAAGCCTCTTCATCTAGGTTTAACAGTACATTCAAACCTGAAGTATTGAGCTGAAATACCTACTTACCTGCTGTCACCAGGTAGGAATTAGGATCATTAACTTCACACACAAAATTCTGGGCTGTTGAAGAAACTACTGTTCTGGTAGTTGTGGGGTAAGTGGGTTTCGAAGCTGTACTGCTGACAGCCTTTGTTGTACTGCTATTATAAGGGGTAGCTGTGGGATTGTCCATTTGGATTTTGGTGATTGGTACAGTCAAAATTGTCATAGGAGTTGGATCTGAAGAGTTTCTAACTGGTGGGGGAGATGGCATCAGTAGGAACGAAGTAGCAATCCAAACTGTCTCTGTAGATGATGGCAAAATATCGGGAAAAATATGCAGTAGGGTTGAAGTGGAAGAATAGGGCAGATCAACAGTGGAGCTTGGAGTAAGCCCAGTGTCTGTGGTGATCGCAACTGTGGAAGCCAGAAAACGTGAACTGGTTAGAGTGCTGCTCTCTGTGAGACTTGATTCAAAAATAGATGGCATTAATGTGGGTTGTATTACTTCAACTGAAGGTGACAGTGACTCAAGAGAAGGTGTCATTTCTAAAATACTATGAGAATAGGCACTGTTGAAGGAAGATTCAGAGTCTACGGCATGATTCATATGGTTAGCAGATGTTGCCAATATATTCAATGTTGTGGGTTCTGGCTTTAGAAAAGAAGATTCCAAATTTGAAGAACTCAACAAATTTTCAAGATACATTGTCTCAAACACAGAAAAACTTTTTAGCTGTGATTCAGATGCATTTGAGTATTCTGTTGCTGGAACAGCACTCGTTTCTGTTGACAAAGCATTTATCAATGAAGAAACCAAATCCAGAGATGGTTCTAGGATGCTGGTCAGTTCAAAGGATTGATTCGCTAAGAACTCTGGTAAGTGTGTAGTCACTGTTGAGGGGTAACTTGCATTTTCGTTCTGAGATAAAGTTGATTTCAGATACTCGCTAGCTACACTGAATTCATCAACTGAAGGTGCAAATGCCAGGGTTTCTTCCATCAGCAGTGAAGGACTAACTGTGCTAATATCAAAATTATCCTCAAAAGATGAATATAATACTTGATTTACTGGATAGATAGTTGTAGGGCTATTATTGTACAACGTTAAGACTGTCAGTGATGGCACAAACGAAGTTCTTAATTTTGAAGAAACTGTTGAAACAGGTCCAGCTAGGAAGTGGGTATCGTAGGCTTCAGATTCTAGCAGTTCTGAATCAAATGAATCAAAGACCAAACTGGATGACAGAACAAATGCAGCTGTGTTTGACAAACTGAAAGGCATAATTTCAAGATCATCACCAGATCCAAAATCATTAATCAATGACTGTGTGAGAAGTAAGCTAGATGGAGAAACTAAAACTCCATGAGGAGAGAGGGATGTAAATACGGGAGTGGAAAGCAATGGCACATTAAACTCAGTCAGTATCACTCCATCCGCTACTGCATTATTGTCAACTAAAGCAGCATCAGCAGATATTGGCAGGTGAGGTAAGTCAAATCTTGAACTTGCTTCAGAAACCAGCTCTGATGTTAAAGTAGCTTTGATTGGAGTTTTAACGTGATGAACCAAAGATTCTCCAGTGATTTTAAACTCTCTTTTGCTACTGAGGAATGCAACATTATTTGAGGTTGAAGAAATCTCATTTTCCTGAGTGAAATCTTCTGTATGATGAGAAAAGATGGTCTCCGTTCTATAAGATATATCATCAATGTGACTTAGCAGGTCTGTTTCACTGTACTCCATGTCTAAATTTGCCATTGCTGTACTTATGGCAGGTTGGAAAGCATTGCTGACTGCAACTGAAGAGAATAGAGGAGTTATAGGTTCAAATGACTGTTTGCTCGATGGCAGAATAGAAAGGTCCGAAACTGTTCTAAAGGATAATGGATAAACCAAGACGGAACTTGAAAGATGCAATGAGATCGCAGGTTCTGAAGATTGCCCAGTGGCACTGTTTCTCAGAAAGCTAAATGGAATTACTGATGAAGATGATGTTGGTGTAAGTAAATGCAGTGATGTAATTGGCTGGTATTCTTCAGTGACTGTTGTAATTGATTCTGACAAAAGGGTGACTTGTGAGTTATAAATGGTTAAAGATTCAGAGGAATCAGACAACACAACCTTTCCTGACCAAGTCTGATTTTTTACTTGCGTAAAGGTCTGTTCAGAGTTTAGTTGGATTGCTGCTTTTATGTTCAAACTTGACTGCAAGGCTGATTCCACAGAAGTACTGCTTATTGTGGCTCCCCCATTTTGCTTTATTAAGGCAGAATCCAGTGTGCCATTAATGTCTGGATTTTGCTTGTGTATCCTGCCCAACAATGCTGCATCACCTGAAAAGTGTTCATCTGTGAGAGAACAGAAAACAATTGTTAAACGTATTTTAAGCAGATATGAAACATTCAACACGCAAAGATATTGGAATGAGCTTGTTTTCATTATTGCTAAAATTATCAGTAGGAAATTTGCACAAAAAGGTCTTGAATGCAAACATTCACCTCCTGCTTTCATGGGTTAGTGTACAAATTCAACAGTGTTAAGTAATTCAAAACATTTGTATGCACAGCAATTCTGAAGTCACAAACACAAATTAAAGTAATTGAGCATTTTCAAATTTTGCACGGTTGTGCTGACATAGACCAGCTAGGGTCTTCTCTGGTTTCAGACACGGTCTTAGCAGAGTCATGATCGCAAAAATGCAGACCAGCAGGACAGCACAAAGGTCCAAATACAATCCAAGCATCAGAATCACCTTGTGGGGCTGTCTCAATCAACATCAGCATCAGTTTTAAAGACTTCATCGTCATTCCCACTGCAATGCAGATGTTATATGTTACATAAGAAAAACATTTACAAAAACAAAAAGAGAAAAAAAAAAATCAGGCAATCATCGTTACTGAATTTACCCACTTAGGAGTGCTTATAGTAATATTATAGTAAGGAGAAGAGACACCGAACAATGTGGGGAGAAATTCCACATAGTTATCACCAGTGATGTGAAGCAAAAATATGTTGATTTCCCTAAATTTTGTCATTTTTAGTCTAACAAAAAGATGACCATGAAACCTATTGATTATTAAATAAACCCAACTGGTCTTGAACATACAGGACCCTAGTTTTACACCAGTACTTCCCAAACCTACACAAGAAGATTGATTCTCAGTGAACTTCAAGCTACTTAGGACGTACAGCGAATACTGACTGTTTTGCCACTACCATTCACTTTTAAATTAATTCTGTTGCACTGATGTTAGGATGGGAAAAAGAATGTCAACCATGAAGAAAACAAGCAAGAAACAAGGCATGCTTCTCAACAGTATAACATTAGTTTTAAGTATGAGTGATAAGTTTATTGATTAATTGTACCTTGGCTTTCAGTTCATCTACTTGTCTAATGCTTTCATTTTATAAAAGCAATCTTAAATTAATTACTCAAATAATATTTTGGAGATTGAGGGAAACGAAAACTTTCTTTAGTTTTGGTGCTTCTTTTAACTTTCCTTCCAGTTTTTCTTCTTATTTATCCGCACTTGAAAGCAGCCTCTTGCTAGGATAGAACTCTACAGTATCCATAATGCTGGAGTATGACCTGATAGCAAGACACGTCCATAAGTCGTCACTATTTGCTCATGCATTGCAATATAAAGATGTAGACCTTTGTGCATTTCCTTAACATTAAGTCCAGCTAATTTTCCTCATTCCTAGCTCAGTAAATCTATACTGACAGCAGCACTTGCCTATCTCGTTGGGATACCTTTAAGCTTTAGAGGCAGGCTACCATACTCTTAACCAAATGCTATAAATACACACACCATAGCCATTTTCCGAACTGTTTTTACAGTCCTTGCCCATTAAACTTACCTCTCAGCATTAAATAAAGGTTTATACGTATTCCAGATCTGGAGACACATTTGGAACACACCGACTAGCCCTGCTTGATGTTTGAATGAAAAATTACATACACATTCTCTGTGTTATTAATTCTACAAACATACTTTTCAGTTGTCAGAAGCAGAGTAGTAGACTTTTCACTTCAACAGAGACTGAAAAATAATTAAGATAAAAGACTTTGCAACTGTCATTTAAGTGATAGTCAAAAAGATACATAATATTTCAAATATTATTTGAAAACTTGACATTTAAAGCTCATTTAGCATCCAAAACAATCTGAAATAATGACAAAGATGATGATCTTGCATCTGGAAACTACAGTTCATGACTTTGAAATGTGTCAGCACTCCATAATGAAATACAGGTTTTGAAAGATAGTCACTGTGGCATGGAGGCAACATCACATGTAGAGAGAAATACAAAGCAGAGGCAAATAAATAAATACATCTCTCAATGCCATATAAATGAGCAAGACTAAGCAATGATGGGGTACACCTGATGAGGTCACCTACAATCACTCAGCATTTGAGATGTTTGAAGAAATCCGGTGTTGTGCATGCAAATAAATTAAAAATGGCTTTGAGCCAAAACTGGAGGATTAAGTTTAGTTGGCTGTTTGCTAATAGAACAACGGAGGGGGAGGAGAATTCTAATCTATTTAAATTAACTTGAAGCAATAAGAATAGTCGGCAACTTAAGAAATACTAGGAAAACACAAAAACAGCTGAGTCATTTATTTTAAAACAAAAGACAGTTTTCATGCATTCATAACTCAAACCTGTAAATTTCAAGGCACTTAAAATACAATGATAAAAACAGAGTATTTTTTACAAATTTTCAGGAGCTCTTTTTTACTCCGAGATCACAAAATCAAATTTTACATTTGCTGCCTGCCAAGCAAATCTTTTTTTTGTGACTAGCTATGATAGCAACTACCATCATTCTACAGAGATGCTTGGAGTTAAACAGATTAATATCCAGCAAGTAGATTGCAAACAGTGATACTGAGGCCACCAGGGAGCATCTTGTTAACATCCCAGTGAGCAGGAATGCTGTAGAGACCAGGGACTGAATCTGGGATGCTCCTGGCTTGAGATCACAATGAGCAATGAAGCTACTGGCTGACCAAGTTAAGAGCTGACCTCATCGATATACCCAAGAGCTGCAACGATAGACATAGTTAAAATCATAGAATGTGACTCAGCTCCAACAAATAGAGTCATAAAGTTGTACAACATGGAAACAAACCTTTTGGCCCAACTCATCCATGTCGAACAGATATCCTAAATTAATCTCATGTGCCAACATTTGGCCCATATCTGTTTAAACCCTTCCTATTCATACACTCATCCAGATGCCTTTTAAATGTTGTAATTGTACCAGCGTCCACCACTTCCCCTGGCAGCACATTCCATACACATACTGCCCAATGTGTGAAAAAGTTGCCCCTTAGGTACCTTTAACATCTTTGCCCTCTCACCTTAAACCTATGCCCTGTAGGTTTGGACTCCCCTACCCTGGGGAAAAAGGACTTGGTCGTTCACCCTATCCATGCCCCTCATGATTTTATAAACCTCTATAAGGTCACCCCTCAGCCTCTGGCACTCCAGGGAAAATAGCCCCAGCCCATTAAGCTTCTCCCTTTAGCTCAAACCCTCCAAACCTGGCAACATCCTTGTAAATCTTTTCTGAACCCTTTCAAGTTTCACATGACTAATGTTAAATGTAAATTCAAACTTAAATGGCATTTTTTTCCATAGTTTGGATTTGTACAAAAAATATCAACATGAAAAATATCAAAGATAGTAGGAACTGCAGATGCTGGAGAATCTGAGGTAACGAGGCGTACAGCTGGATGAACACAGCAAGCCACGCAGCATCAGAGGAGCAGGAAGCCTGATGTTTCGGGCCTAGACCCGAAAATATCAACTATGTTTAGCACTAAGTATTACAATATTAGTCTCGTTACACAAAATCAAAATACTATTTATTCATGATGTTAATGAATTTAGCATAATTTCAACATCAGTTCTTAAAACAAGTTAGCCAATTTCAAGATTTTGAGAAGATTTGTAGCTTGGGTTGTGGATGAGGTTGGAGACTTGCTCGCCGAGCTGTTGTGTTCGTTTGCAGACATTTTGTCACCCTGCTAGGTAACATCGCCAGTGCGCCTCCCGTGAAACGTTGGTGTTCTGTCCCACTTGTTATTTATACGCTTCGGTCTTCTGGGGAGGTTGGCATTACTTCCTGTTCTGTTTTACAGTGGTTTGTACATCGGGTCCAGTTCAATGTGTTTGTTGATGGAGTTCCAGTTGGAATGCCAGGCCTCCAGGAATTTGCTGGCATGTCTCTGTTTGGCTTGTGCTATTATGGATGCGTTGTCCCAGTAAAATTCATGTCCTTATTTGTATACAGGAAGACTGCACATATGGACCAGATACGTAATTACTCCAACAACTACCCCAACACCCATAAACGGAGCTGCATCAGAACATTATTCAAACTGTAGCAACCCGGAAATGCGCAAAGCAGAAAGGAGCACTTGTACAGAGTTTTTAAAAGGAATGGATAACCAAAAAGCACAATCCGCCATTACCGCTGCAATAGAGCACAACAAGAAGACACAACACGGCCAGACACGAGTCACCCTACCGTACATCAGGGGCATATCAGAGATGGCCACAAGACTACTCAGACCCCTTGGTTTCAGGGTAGCCCACAAACCAAAAACCATCCTGCAACAGCCACTGACGAACGTAAAGGACCCTATACCCACAACCAACAAAACTAATGCAATATACAAAATATTATGCAAGGACTGTGAAAAACATTACATTGGCCAGACTGGAAGAAAAATGACAATAATGATACACAAACACCAACTAGCCACCAAGAGACATGATCAATTCTCACTGGTCTTGATATGCACAAACAAAGAAGGGCACAAATTCAACTGGGTCAACACATCCATAATAGCACAAGCCAAACAGAGGCATGCCAGGGAATTCCTGGAAGCCTGGCATTCCAACTGGAACTCCATCAACAAACACATTGAACTGGACCTGACATACAAACTACTGAAAAACAGAACTGGAAGTAATGCCAACCACCCCAGCTAACCGAAACACATAAATAACAAGCGGGACAGAACACCAACGCTTCACCAGAGGTGCACTGATGATATTACCTAGCAGGGTGACGAAACGTCTGCAACCAAACACACCAGCTCGGCGAGCAAGTCTACGACCTCAAGTTAGCCAATTTCCTGAGATGTACAAAATAAAGGTGAAGTAGGATCTCATATGTAATATATTGTTAATAAGTCTTTTTTCAGATGGTAAAGCCACTTTTATAATACGGTGTACAATACTGGTCGCCCTTCTGTAGGAAGGATGTTGTTAAGTTTGACAGCGTGCAGAAAAGATTTACAAGGATGTTGATTGGAGGATCTGAGTTA